AAGCTATGCGCACAGCTAGGGAAGTACATGTACCTGAAGCTATGTGTGTATATTCTAATGCCCAAGCTACTGACATGCATAGAATCAGATGGGCAGCGTCAGCCACTGCTAAATTCGACAGATAGACGTTGATGATCGTGTGCATGGACTTCACTCGAATTACTACGAAGAGAAAAATAGAGCTCAGCAGGATTCCAATGGGGGCGATGATTTTGCTAAACTGACGGATTATGTCGTCGTAGTCTTGCCTATGAGCTTCGACATCACGGAAAAGCTGCCTCTCATGGGCTGTCAGTCCGTCGCTATGTTGTATTGTTCCATTCATCTTTCTTATATCAGACGTCTTGACAGGACTGGTTCACAAGTCGAAATGTATCTACATTTACAGCCAGATTATAACTCGTCTTGGGACCGAGCAATGTGAAACAAGAAAAGAAAGCGATAAACACTGGGCATGCATTATAACCAACTCACTCTTAGCGTTTTAAATGGGAATGTCGAACACTTAGTTTCAATTTCGATCAGCAAATCCAATGGAGTTAAAGGCGCTATCTCGTGAATTGTGTATTTCTAAACTCGCTCCAAGGGTGGGCTTGAACCTCTGGAGCATGTGTTCGTGCAGTTCAAATTACCCCTATGGGATTTTGTTTTATAGCATGATTAACAATAACAATGTCCGACAATCTTAGTCACGTGGTTGGAACCTAATTACACCCTACATCCCCCACGCTGCCCCACCACATCCCCACCCGATCCCACCCCACCCCCAAAGTTTGGCCAAAGTTATGCACACATTTGTAATGAACCTAAATCCCGAGTGTTAGCTCTATAGACCATGCTACATTTATTTACAAATTGGATGTTGTGGTCACGTGATGTCAACTTTCAGCATACTGAACTCTTCCGCACTGCATGTGTATCCCTTGAAATGTGATTGGTGTAAAAGTTGTGACGTCAGCTGTTTAGTGTCGATAAAATAACGTGCAAAAGATGCTTAAATGTTTGGGTTGCATGTCGGTTGCCCGTTGGTATGACGTCATAGGTAACACGGTCTTTAGAACTAAGCCAAAAGAGACAAATGCTAATTTTGTAACTTCCCAATTTAAAAAAAACCTTGAAATAAGTATGGGATGCGAGGTGATGAAATTCCATTTTAGCTCTTAATTAAATTTGAACTGAATAATGATTAAGCCTTCTGTTTGTATACAAAAAATGCGTAACTACATAAATGTATTGTCTGCAGTCAATTTAAACATCGTCCTTAATCCAGCATTCGGAATCTAATTTTATGAACGCCAGACCCTTGCTGTGCAAGGGGATATTCCATAGACTAGGTTTTGTGCCGGAGGGCAATGACCAAACGACAAGTTCACGTGATGACTTTGTAGCAATGTAAGGCCCCCCCCCCCAAAAATATGTCGGTCTCTGGTCAGCGCGCGTGTCGATTTTAATCATGCGCGTCAACCTTTTTTTCTCTTCAAATTGTCCGCTGTAGCTACAGCAATGCCCTCTATTGCCGCACCTCCTCAAATTTTTGTACCAAGGGATGGCGAAATTGCACCAAGGCAAATTATGGAGGTACCCAATGTATATGAGGACACAACAAAAGTAAAATAATACCCACCTTGTCTGTGCAATCCAACCTACAAAAAAAAGGCCAAAAAAAAAAAAAAAAAGTCGCCGCATCAATTCTGGAACTTTGGTAAGACCAGAGACCGAATATTTTGTTTGGCCTAATACCTCTCCAAGAATAAATCATCAACATGTGACTATGAGTAGTGTTCGAACGAGGAAACCCAATCGTTTTTCGTTAACTAGCTTTTGGTATCACTACTATTGTCTTAAGCAAACCTGAAACTGTATAAGATAATGCTGGGGGAAATGCGCAAGCAAATTGAAACTTCTGACGTTCAGGAAATAATATCAAATGACTGCAGAGACAAGCTATTACGGTCACGCAAGTTTCAGCAAAAACTTTCATTATTGAAATCAAATGGGAATTCATGACGCCGCATGCAGGAGATTCACAAGCTGTGCAGAAGAGTACAGTTGGCTAAAAATTGGCATCACGTGACCACAACACCCAATTAGTAAACAAATGTAACATGGTCCATAAAGCTAACACTTTAGATTAGCTTTGGCTTGAGGAGTTTCGATCAATTGCAGTGTGTGATCTCTCGTGTATTTTTGGAGATAATCGAGTTAAAAATTTAGTGATCTCCTTTCTCAATTAAAAATCACATAAGGCTGAATTGTTGACTCACGGGATTCGTTAATATTTGAAATAATATTGTGCATTTCTATTTTAAAGCATTACTTCATGTTAAAGTTATTTATATTTGTATGCTAACGGCTTTTTACCCAGACACCCCACCCCACCGCCTTAAACGTGCGCTTAAGCAGCATGTTAAATCATGACGTCTTTTTGCTGGGGAATAAACTTGGCTTTACCTATCCACTTTAGTGGGAAGTTTGTGCACTTAAAACACATTAGGTTTACGCGCTAACGTCCTTTTGGCGGGGAAAAATAATGAAAAACCTCCTGCCGTCTTTTTCGTACTGCTAACTTACGTCAGAATGACGTAGCACCTCCAGACAAAATGTATATCAAATGAAAGATATTTCCATGCTCTATCAATTACCCGAAAAGTCCGAATATGACCCTTCGATCGACCCATTGTTCGCCCTGACGTCCTTCTTCCACTCAAAACCAACGTGTTTATCGTTTGCTAATGTGTACAGGCACGTGTGGACCTGTGAACAAAAGATGTCCACACTCTGCAGGTAGTGAAGACGGTGTGGACTTACCACGTCCGCGCAAGGTCAATTACGAACCGTTTAATTCAGTGCAGGATGGGAGATTTTTCGGACGATTGGTGGCAGCAAACACACTGGCTCCTTTTCTGTTGTTTGCTCCATTTTGATCATGTGCGCATTAGCTTAAACATGACGCAAATAATTCCAATAGACCGTGTGTTGGCTGCCCTCAAGCGTCTCAAAAGTCTTCCATTCCGCTAAGCACTTCAAAAACTGGTTACCAACCAACATTTATGTCATGTTTTTTTTGCTGTCGACTGGTACTTTGCCAATTTCTGCGGAACACCGAAAAAACTACCCGGACAGCGTAATTTCCAGCAAAACAGTTCCTTACTCCCCTCCCCCCATTTGTTCGTTGTTATTAGAATTTTTGTTTTAATTTAAAAAGTTGAAAAACGAGGCAAAAATGTAACGACACTGAAGCTTGAATCAAGTAGGCCTTTTTGCGGTTGTTCAGTTTATTCAAGATGGAAGATTGAAGATTTATATATTGTCATGCTTAAAAAGTACATGAACATTGAGTTGCCAGTGTACATGAATTAAAAACAGGTATAAAATACATTACATTGAAAATTACCATACAAAAAAATATGACAAAGCAAAACAATCAATTACTGTACACAAATACACAATTACTTTATGTACAATACAAAACCAACCCTTTACCACTAAGAGGTCGAGAACAGCCAATAAATCTTAACGAAAATGCTTATTTGTAAGGAACTATACAGACACACAGCCAAACGTGTGATGCAAATCAAATGTTTATGTTTATGGTTGCAAATATGCGTTTTTAAACTGCACATAATCGCATGGTTATTTTTACATGACCTACTTTATGTACAATAATATTCACACAAGAAAGCATTAAAAACAGCGCCACCTAATTTCAATCGTGTCCACCCCACCGCTTTTCAAGATATTTTACAACGTCCGATGTGGTGCAAAGATTTTGCAAGCATTCCCCCCCCCCCCCACTTGTCGACACGAACTTTAATACGCCACTGGTTTTGATTCCAAATTAAGGTAGGCGTACCCAAATGTAGGACACGTCACGAAGTTTGTTTTCGTAGAGAATGTCAGATGTGTCATCCAATTCAAAACACATTTTGTGAAACTTTCTTATCCTCTTAAAAGTATGAAAACCATTGGCATTTCTTTGTTTTGGGGCTACTTTTATTGAGAAGTGCACTTCTTTAAACATTTCGAATTGTCCATGCTTTTCCGGACAACTGAGGGCACTGTTGCTGTGATGTCATTTTCAGAAAGACGCTGTTCGGTTTTGGGGGTTTTCTGTTCAACTTGTGACCCAAAAATGTGTTCATTGAAAACATTAATGTGAGAAAGGTTTGCTCATTGGCTTACCGCCATGCACTTACACAACAACGAATCACTAAAGAAATGAACATTTACATCTTACAGGAAAATATCCAAAATTCTGGAAATGTTTTGTGCTGACATTACGGTAACATTGAGGCTTCTGCCTGAAATGACATTATTTGCTCATGAATATGGAAAATTGCATCAGCATAAAAACCAAAGAGACACCAAAATACTATTGAAAATGGCGAAACGAAATCAAAGTAATGTTAAATTAGACACAAACGTGAATTTTCAAGGATTGAATAAAACAAAAGCAAATCGGGCCTTGAATCTTCAATCCAGTTACCGTCACAGGATATTTCATAGATGTGTGACTTTTAGTCAAGACCTCAAAAATCCTCACATAAGTCAGTCACAATTAAATCCTTCGATCTAAAATACTCACAAGCTATTCCAATTAGATTAGGGTTTCTTATGCATTTGCCCCGAACAAGACGTGAAGAGGGTTAAGTGAAAAATAAAAAGCAAAGTTAATACTCAGGAAAACTGAAGGTAGGAATTAACACTCCTCTTGAAACAGGACAGATCATGGGTTGGAGGGAAACAAGCACCAGGCAAGGAATTCCAAAGAGATGCAGCACGAGGGAAAAGCTATTGGAATATCCTATGTTTACACATCTCGGTAATTGCAACAGTATATGGATGAGAACAGGCATAAAGTCGGGTTTCTCTCTCAAACACTCTGATTGGAGGAACCAAGTTGGATAGTCTCCATCCTTGATATTTGTGGTCTTACTTGTGTCTGACTTGGGACTTGACTTGTGATTGACTCGACTTAAAGTCTGGATTTGCATCGATGTTCAGTGCGCTTGGGCCAGTGATTCTTGAGCGGCCTTCGCTGGTGGAATCATTCGAAGTTCTATCTGCTCTGTCTGCTGCGGTCGGCGGCAGCGGCGGCGCAGTCGAAGGAGCTTTGCCAGCGGGGGGAAAGCCTCCAAGAAAGCCGCTCGATACTGACTGTTCGTCGCGCTGTACACCAGAGTATTGATGGAGCTGTTGATATGGCGAACGATTCCTAAGCAGACCTTCACGTCGGTGCAGGTCCAGTAGATATCGATAAAAGCCTCTGCTCCCTTGTAAATGGAGAACAACATTAAAATGTTGATGACATTGAAAGCAATGTCCATTAAATTGAGGACGAAGAAGACAGCAGTGTTGATGACCAGCATGCGGACGACGGGATAAACTCGACGGGTTTGGCCTGCTTGACGCTCTCGGTCACTGTGGCATAACTTAATAACGATGTAAATATACGAGGTAATAGTTATGGTAAACGTAGCCAGGAAAATCAAGATGACGATGACCACACATACTTGATTTAAAACCACGTTAGTGACATAATTGGTATCATTTGCGAGTCCAGCCAAAACGCCAGTGACAACTGCCGCAACCCAGACGCCTGCTGATACCTTGCCTGCTCGTGACTTGCTCGCTCGCGCTCTCTGGGTTAGCGGTTGACGTACGGCGGAGAATCTTTCAACCGCTATGACAGTCACGAAGCCGTACGAAGCAATCTGCATCGTTGAAGAAGCTATGACTAAGGTCAAGTAAGCACCTGAAGCTATGTGTGTATATTCTATCGCCCATGCTGCTGACATGTTTATGATCAGATAGGTAGCGTCAGCCACTGCTAAATTCGACAGATAGACGTTGATGATCGTGCGCATGGATTTCACTCGAATTACTACGAAGAGAAAAATAGAGTTCAGCAGGATTCCGATGGGGGCGATGATTTTGAAAAACTGACGGAGTATGTCGCCGTAGTCTTGCCTATGAGCTTCGACATCACGGAGAAGCTGCCTCTCATGGGCTGTCAGTCCGTCTATTGTTCCATTCATCTTTCTTATACAAGACTAGAGACGTCTTGACAGGCCTGATTCACAAGTCGAAATGTATCTACATTGATAGCGAAATTATAACTCGTCTTGGGACCGAGCAATGTGAAATAAGAAAAGAAAGCGAGAAACACTGGGCATGCATTATTACCAACTCATCCTTCGCGCCTTAAATGGGAATGTCGAACACTTAGTTTCAATTTCAATCAGCAAATCCAATGGAGTTAAAGGCGCTATCTCGTGAATTGTGTATTTCTAAACTCACTCCAAGGGTGAGCTTGAACCTCTGGAGCATGGGTTCGTGCAGTTCAAATTACCCCTATGGGATTTTGTTTTATAGCATGATTAACAATAACAATGTCCTGCAATCTTAGTCATGTGGTATGAACCTAATTACACCCTGCATCCCCCACGCTGCCCCATCACATCCCCACCCGATCCCACCCCACCCCCAAAGTTTGGCCAAAGATATGCACACTTTTGTAATGAACCTAAACTCCCGAGTGTTAGCTGTATAGACTATGTTACATTTATTTACAAATTGGATGTTATGGTCACGTGATGTCAACTTTCAGTAAACTGGTCTCTTCCGCACTGCATGTGTATTCCTTGAAATGTAATTGGTGTAAAAGTGGTGACGTCAACTGTTTAATGTGGGCAAATAACATGCAAAAGATGCTTAAATGTTTGGGGTGCCTGTCAGTTGCCCGTTGGTAACAACTGTAAGCCAGCTAGTCTGGTTCCCTGACCTGACAATTCCACGACGTCTATAAATTGTAAAACGTATAGGATCAGGGAACCAAACTACAAGAGCAGAATTTCTGTGTTTTTTCCCTAGCATCTGTGAACACAAATCTTTAAACATAATTATCAAGTTAACAATGTTTGCTATAAAATACCAACCTCCAAATCCATCAATTTCTGAAAATTACAGGAAAAACAAATGTTATTATTACCTTTAAGCATCATCCTTGATCCAACTTTTGGATTCAGTTGAACTTCCTGAACGTCAGAAGTTTAAATTTACTTGATTTTCCCTCCAGATTATTATGATAAAAATTTCTGGTTTGCTTGAGACAATAATACCGGTGATACCAAAAGTTCATTATCAAAACACCATTGTGTTTCCTCGTTCGCACGCTAGTCACAGTCACATGTTGAACGATTTTTTATCAGAAAGGTTTATAGCTACAAAGTTATCACGTGAACTCATAGCAGTTATATTTTAATCATGATTTTGGGGCTTTTATCTTTTATGTGAAACTCCAGCACAAAACCAGTCACTTGGACACATTTTTAAAACTGGGAATTGGGCTCATTGGAAAAGACATTGAATAAATATCAAACTGGCTCGATGACAATAGATTAAAATTGAATACTACCAAGTCCAAAAGCATGTTGATTGGTTCAGCCCAAAAACTTGCCAGATGTGAACATCCCAATATTGATATCTATGTAAATAACAATTGCCTGGAACAAGTAACCACTTATAAATATCTTGGTGTTCACATTGATTGTAAAATGAAATGGATAGGACATATTGACCATGTAGCATCTTCTGTCTCAAAAAGAATAGTTATTTTGAATAGACTTAAAAATGTCTTACCTACACAAACCCTTAACCTTATTGTGAAAAGCCTTATTTTCCCTCAGTTTGATTATTGTGATCTTATATGGAGTAGTACTTCCAAAACCTTGATACAACGGCTTGATGTACTTTTGAATAGAGCAGGAAGGGCTATTCTTAAGGTCCCATCCAGAACATCAGCATCAGCTGTACGTAGTGAACTAGGTTGGAAAACTCTACATGAAGGAAGAGAAATTCATATTAGTACCATGGTTTTTAAGTGTTTGTCCGGCAATGTTCCTAGTTAACGAAGTTTTTGTTCCAGTCAGTTAACTACATTGTCATCGAACTAGGAATAGCACTGTTGGCAATGTGGTACTTCCACTCCCTAGAACAGAAAATGGAAAAAGAACTTTTAAATTCAGGGGTGCCCAGGCTTGGAATAAATTACCGCAACATTTGAAATCTCCGCATCCAACAAGTCTTAATCACTTCGCCAAACAACTCAAACAGCTCAGTTAAAAATGAAGAAAATAAGCAGAAAAAAAGACAAAAAAAAGACAAAAAAAAAAAAAAAAAAACAGGGGGGGGGGGAGATGTCATCTCGAAGCGATGTTTTGTATTGTATTGTAAATGTCTGTTGATCTGTGTAATTCCTATTTTATTTAAGTTTATTTCAATGAATTGTTTAACATTCTTACATTGTACTTTTAATTGTATTTTAATAGTAGTTTTGTGTGAGCTGGGATCCATGGGAGATCAGTGAGTTTTTCTCACTGAATGGATCACCCAGGATAAATAAGATATAAATAAATAAATAAATAAATAAATAAGCTTTCCAATGATGTAGGTCTACAGAATATGGTTTGTAGAGTAGCCGCCTACAAAGCAAGCGTCGGTGAATATTATGCGGGCAGATTTGGCGATTAATTATGCAATCTTGACCTCAAGATTCTGACCATTTAGCGGGCGCCTTCTTTTGTCGTATTACAAAAACATGGCAATATTTGTTCAGAGGTCCACATAATGACCGCACTGCCTGTCCATCTTTGTAAACACCTTCAATCGTGGACCCTCCCATATGTTTTGTACACACACCTCAAACGTGGACCTTCGCCATATCGTGGACCCTAATGTTCTCTATTGTTCAAGGTCTTCGATGAATGTGTAAACATTGTACATCCATAACTTCCCCTCCGCACTTTTCGGATACTTCAAGCCACCCCTATGTTGTGAAAAATATTCATTCCTGCACCGTTTTCAAGAAGGGGCGAGTTTCATGAAAAATGGTCTGTTTATCGATAAAAGGGTTTTTTTGGGTGAAAATGATGAAATATATCAATATCTACAACCTGGTAAGGTTATACTATCTAAAAACTAAACAGAAACCGAATGAACCTAATTAACGAATGGGCAAATTTTCCTCAAGTGCGGTTTTGCGTTTTCACGAATGGGGTGAAAACGGGTCACAGTTTGCAGAGACAACAAATGAAATGTTATATGATGCAGGACGAGTCTATGAAATACCGGTTGTAATGTCACCAACAGCAAATTTAGACAAAACGATATGTCTTTATTGGAAAATCACAATAAATTACTAATATGCGTATTACTCCCTGTTTTGGGTCAGAAAACCGCCTGAGCACTCTATTCTATCTATGGTATAGGTTTTCCCGGCCAATTTCCTAAAATGGTCATTCACTTTTAAAAATCGGTCATTCGTTTTCGTGAAAGTTCAATCGTTTTCATCGTACGTGCATTCGGTTTTGAGAAACAGACGGCCAATTACGTTACCTGTGCATTCATTTACGCAAGCATGCCTTTTCGCGCAGAGTTCTGGAATACAATTTCGTGAATTAGCAATCAAAAGTACGTTTTTCTCATTCAAAATAGCAGATTGCATCACATAACATTAAACCAAAAGTGAAATAGAATGACCAATGTTGAAATCGCCCTCTAAAAGCGAAAAGGAAGTCTTTTTAACGAATCTGAATGAGCATAAACGAAATATGCTGCTCAATCACTTAATTGATTGAACTGAAATGGAATCGAATGCTCTGGTAGCGAAAATGAAACGCGTGTTCAGAGCGATTCTCAAATTCAGATGAAAATTAATGACCGATTTTCAGAAGTGGGGGCTGGGGTGGGGGCTGGCGGCTGGTACCCATCTTCCAAAATGAGGGTGCTCTTCAAAACTGACCATTATTATGCATACTACATATTATATGCACATTATCACGGCGAATTATTATGGCCGTTGGGAAGCAGTGGCGTCACCAGACTTTTCAGTCTGGGGGGGGCACAGGGGGGGGGCACCAGCATTTGATGGGGGGGGGGGGGGCACTTAGGTGGATACGGATCGCCATCCTGGGGGAGGGGTCTAAGGGGAGGGGGTGCCCCCCTCCCCTTTGGAACATTTTCGCATACGGAGGATGGGCTAGATGCAAAATGGTGCCACATTTGATGCTAAATTCGATCTGAAGATATATCCAGAAATTACTATTTTTGAGGTAATGATTTTAACAACGCGCAGAATTTTGCAGAGGATAGGGGGGGGGGGGCACCAGCATTTGATGGGGGGGGGGGCACTCGGGGGGGGGCACTAGGTTTTCCAGGGGGGGCACGTGCCCCCCCCTGGCCCCTCCCCCTTGGCGACGCCACTGTTGGGAAGGGGGGGGGGGGCGGCTGGTACCCATCTTCCAAAATGGGGGCGCTCTTCAAAACTGACCATTATTATGCATACTATATATTATGCACATTATCACGGCGCACTGTTATAGTTGTTGAGCGGGTTTTCTTTGGTGAGATTGATGTCAGAAGAACTCCTAGCAAAGAACAGCCTGCAAAGTGCCCCCCTGCCCCCCCCCCCCTGCTGGATACGCCACTGACTCTGAGCGCAGTAGTGCAAAATCTGCGCATACTGACTCGAGCCTTTTCACGACGGGGCGAATTTTACAGCTCCAGGGGTGAATTTGCTATTTCGTCGTTTTTTTTTTTCGTTTTCACGTACAGACACTTCTCTTAATTGATTAATTCTGCAAAACTGATCACCTATTTTTCTAACAATTTGCTACATTTAGGAAGATTAGAAGCTCTTCTTTCCTCTGATACCTAAATCTTGCATATTCTATTCATCTTTACATTTCAAATTGTTAAATGAAAAAAAGGACCAACTTAAAACGCGATTTTCTTGCATGTCTGTGCAGACAGTGAAAGACTAGTAGATTCGCCTCTTCCCCCGTGAAAACGGTGACGACTTGACGCTTGGCGGCAGCAAACACACTGGCTCTTTTCTGTTGTTTGCTTCGTTTTGAAACATGTGCACATTAGCTTAACAATGACGCAAAAAATTCAAAAGGACGGTGTGTTTGCTGCCATCCAGAACATTTGGTACCAGACCAATGTGGTCTGAAATGAGATCGGCATCTGGGTCAAATTTTGGGGCCAAGGTGGGACTTATGCAAGTCTAATTCACAAGTTACAATCAGGTGGTCATTTACGTGAGACAGTAACAAAGATGACTGAGGCTGGCACTCTGGGACCAGCACGGTCAAATATTTTGGCAAAGGTGTGCGACGTCTTCTCTTAAGGCGTGCCAAATTTCTCTTGGTCGGGCGAGGTCCCAAAGTTTACATACGAAGAATATAATTATTCCAATGTAAGCCAACAGTACACACTTGGCGGAGATAATAAATAAAAGGGAGTTGAATGAAAAGGTCTAAAACTGCGCATGCGTTTGACATATTGTAATTCAAAACGCACCAGTAAAACAAGCACAGACTTATTCAGGCCGTTTTAGTTTTGATAAGTTTTTTTTTTATTAAATAGTAGTTTGCAAAATCTGAGTACTTTGGTCATAACAGCATCATGAATAAAATACATGATAGATATTTAACTATAGGATTTATTCTAGTGAGGGTCGGTAGTACGAATTACATTACGAAATTCATCGCATTTTGTTATGATTAACGAAGGACATTTGAAATAATTGTACTCATTTCTCATGCATTTTTAAATTCTTTTTCATGTACTGTTGTGGAAAATGTTATCTCTTTAAATCAGAAAAAACTATGTGGTGCCACGATAAATATTAACAAATTCATAATTTCAAAATTAAGCACTATTTTCCTAACTATAAACTATGCTTTCGAATAGCCAATCGATTAATAGAATTTCATTTTAGCCAGTTCATTAAACGTGCTTGTGCGACGGTCATTTCTATTCCTTGAAGGAAGTCTGTATTTACGGGCAAAGCTGCAGCATTTTGGAAAATTTGGGACAAATGTTTGCTTTCTTTTATGTTTTTTTTTTTATCTTATTCATAAGCACAGCACAGTCACTGTGTGTTGTTTACATACCGCTTCGTGCTTGAAAACAATTTTGTTAAAGGCGTGTACCATTGTTCTGTCATGCGTTTTGTTCGTTTCCAATTATAACACCACTCAAATTCCAATGAAGAATGTTCAAAACCTTACCTGTTGATGAGGTTACCTTTCAATTAAACAGTGAAAAATCATGCGCAAAAATATTACGAAAGAAGATTTCGTTATTTGTACTCTTTTTTAAGGATCAGTCAAAAAATCCCATATACATTTCTTGATTTCTTCTTACTGACAGCAAGCCAGACGGAATGATTTCACGGAGTGTTTGCTGTTTTATAGTACCAGTACGATTTTTAATTCAAGGAAGCTCTTTGATAATAATTCGGTAATTTACCTTAAGGATAAACGCAAATGATCCTATATGCCTTTTAAAACGCAAGTACAAGGGTGTTTGTCTAAAAGTAAATGTTTCCTAAAACAACAGGCAACACCATTGCGAGAAGACTGGATACCAGACCACTAACACCAGCGGTAGGCGTGGCCGCTTCGATGGTGTTCATACACCCCTGCCACGCTGAGGCAACGGGCCGCGGGTAGCCAACTTCCACCTTGAAGCGCCGGTCATTAAACCGGTAGAAGCCTCCATTCGGGGTGAAGAAGTACGTCCTCCGGTTGGTCCACTGCATGGCAGCAGTGACCTGGTTACCAGGGATTTTCCAGACGCTCAGGTCACGCGGGTAGCCTTCGTCGACCTTGCCGTTATTGAAGCGGTAATACTTATCGCCTGCGGGAAAAGGACGAACAAAACTTTAATTTGCTCTATCTGTGAGCGCAGACATCCGGGAATTTTTCCCACATTGGCTTATCTGGCTCCTAGACTCATTTGATTGAAACTGGATGATTCCTGAGTCGGGAGTGCTGAATGGCAACACATAGCAACCAGTCAAAACTGGTGTGCAAATCAATAGGTGTTGACATCCGGGAGCTTCTAACGTTGCTTTGTCTAGTTCCAAGACCTACTTACTTAAAACTCAATGTTTCTTGAATCTGGAGTGCTGAATGGTAACGTAGACTAGGTTTGGGGCACAGATATCAAACAATAAAGTAAACTTTCCACCCACCTTTTATGAAGAAGATTTGGCCGTTCCCACTCCAGAAAAAGGCAGCGTCGAGATCGCCCGGCAAGGTGCCCCAGTCACCGGTAATAGGACTCGGAAAATTGGCATCCATGACCTCGTTGTTAAATCGCCAATATTGACTTCCCTGAAATTGAAACAAAATAAATTATCAAAAATAAATCATCCAAATCGTAATTTTCTTCTACTGATATGTTCAAGTCAACTCTTTGATTACGGAATGAAGTTCATTATAAATACACACATTTAAAAGGCATATATGATGATTTGCATTTAGCTCCTAATAGAGACCTAGCGAACTATTATAAAAAATGTGACTTGGATTATAGATGGCATACTGGTTCTAAACACCCCGCTGTCATGTGGAAGAAATCAAGGAATGTAGGTGATTTCCAACTATCAGTCAATTGACTGATTTTTGGAAACAGAGAGTGCTATGGACGAAATGGCATTTCGTGATAAAAAAGGGCTATGCATGGTTTGTCACTGTTTTCTCAAAACGTGTAATATCAAATGAGCTGAAACTTCAACGGGTTGGGTTTTGAATATTCGTCTTTGGATTTTGAGTAGCGTTATTATTTGAAACCAACAAAATGCATGAAACGCAAATGATCCCGGTTTTTAACGGCAAGAACAGTTTGCACGAAGAGGGCTTGTAAAAGCCTGCCGTTGTTCACAAAAACTGTTTCCCCACAATTTTTTTGTTATTCTTGTTCCGTACCTTGAAAAAGTACGTCTTCATATTCCTGGGGTCGTAAAGCGCAGCGTCGATATTGTCTGGTAGACCAACGAAAGTCGAGGAGATAGACTTGTGGGAACCAGTGGAAATACGGGACGCGCCAAATTCAAATTTCCAAACGTTACTCCCTGCATGACATAGACAGAAAATGACATTAATGTATCATTGTTGAATTCATGACGGAATGAACCTCTTTTTGTTGCTTTGTTTTAATGTGTGTTCCCAAACCATAACGTATACGTACCAATCCGAGCACGCTGTCAATTCTATCACGGAGGCCCCTTTCATTGGCGAAAGCATTGTGCTAGCTATTGTTCATTTGGTTTCTCCATGAAGGGGGCCTTGTGAGTGTACAGCGCCCGATTGTCTGGATTAGTCTTTAGTTTGGTTGCCGCTTCATTGTTTCAACAAAGACTCTTTATGCGTTGCAGGCTGTGCTCTTTATTTTAATTGATTAATTGCAGAATCATGTAAACATTTGAGCATTCAGGACTGTTATAGGGTTAACAATGAAGGTGCATTCAAAGCCAGAGAGAAAAAAACAACCCTACCTCTAGCCAACAAGCTATCCTGTAACAATCCGTGCAGTCATTCCGGCCAAATTTTCTCAAAATTCCACCCCCCGAAAAAATTCTGTCTAGTACTGATACGGGATTTGTTTTTCCTGTGTTTTGTAGTTTCCATCGTGATTATCAAGTTGAAAAGCAGTCTAGATTTTAAATTTGAAGAAGACCACTTTTCAAGATGGCTCACAATACAGAAGAAGTCCAGTATTTGAGACACATTTTAAACTGTGTGCTTGAAAGAAACGTCCCACAATAATTATGAAAAATCTCAACTAACCTTCAAAAATGTAGGTGCTTCGATCTCTGGTGGTGGTGACGGCATCTACTCTGCCGGTGCAAGGTGCATCAGGCTCGGGCGGGTTGGGGGCCATGGTCACATCGGGTCCACCGGAGCCGATACCTGTATAAAACAACAAAGAAAGAACCAGATGTTAGAACAATGCCTATACAACAGACCTAGTCATTATAGGCCCCGCCCAGTGTGTACGTGGACATCATCACGTGTACGTCGAACAGTTAAACAGTTAAACAGTGACGAAAATAAATTATCATCCGGTTCGTTAGTAAAAACGCCATAGACGTGCACGCACCACTAATTACTAGCGCCCATTGGATAAACGCTCAAGTTGCGTTAACTTCCGGTTCCAATGGTTCCAATGCTACTTAATGGCCAGTGGGCGTGGTTTAAACTGAACTGATGTCACACTAACGAACCGGATTGAAGAATTAACTCAGACTATATTATGATTAAACACATTCATGCATTCATTTAACACAATCGAGGGCAAAGTGTGAAAATTTCGCCTTGGCGATTGCCTAATTAGCATATTATACATATGCATAAAGAGCGTGATGACGTCTAGTGGTGTTGCGGATGCAAATAAAAAAAGACTAGATCGGCACGAATGTCGGACTTTTGAGTGCACGCATGTCAGCCTTCAATGGAGACTGTGATTTGTCAAAGCATTATAGGGCGGGGCTAAATAATAGGTACATGTATATTTAACAATTGTTGACTGCTGTGATGCGGGATATGACGTTTTTATAAGCACCCGATGGTGCTATGCGCCCAATTGATTGGTTATACCTCTGTCTTGGATTCTTGGGACTTTGATGTAAAAGTCACGAAAACAAACAGCAGTAAACACAACAATCATGACAATCGAACGTCAACTCACATGCATGTCGCGTGCTCGAAACAGCTGATCGTCTGCTAGTTCGCTGCTCCCACTCATGCGTGAAAATATGGTAAAAATAGCGAGGGTATACCAACGATACAAGCGTTTCACACCGAACGTACCGTACGTACAAAGTCATAGCACACTGAAGGGAGTATGCCATGACTTTTTATAAACTTAACACGTGATCGTTCTAGGCCAATGAAAATACAGTATTGAAGACAGAGCTATAACAGTAAACACTATAAGCACCAATCCTCGGTAAAAGTGCACATTAATATGGAAGTCATATACAAGTATGCACAATATGTAAAGACGAATGTTCTGTAAAGCAGTGCCCGTTGTGGTGGCATCAAAAGCTGTGACTCTTCGTGGAATTTTTGAGTCTGAGAACAATTGAGAATAATTATAATTGACCTATCGCCGTTTGCGAGTGAGCCACGCCCCTTAGACAACCCTATGGAATTTTGTACACTAAAGTTTTGTTCTCAGATTTTGCGCGTTCCGCGTCCACTTGTATATCATGTAATTGGACAATATTTCATAGCTGCGTTGACACAATTCTAGCGCGATAGGTTAATTGGCCTGAAGTTGGTACATAAAAGACTACATTTGTGAACGAAAGAGGGAACGCTTTATTTATTTGACTGACATTTTCTGGGAACAAACACAAGAAACATACAAAAGACCTTCCTCAAGGTACGCCCTCTTGAAAATCAAAGCGAGGCAAATAACGCAAACAAACATGGCGGCGTAAATAGTGCGCGCGGTGAACGAGTGACTCTCGCAAAGTTACCGGGATTTTGACAATCCTATAAAAGGATGGATAGCTCAAGTTTTCCGAAAACATCAATCCGTATTCTAAGTAGGCCATGTCTCATTACATTTTGAACAAGGATCTTCGAGTACAAAGCCTAAAGCAGTGGGCGACCTGACATTACAAATTTCAACCGTCTATTAGTAGAGCACACGGGCGTCTCGAAGGCCCGTATTGTTTGCACGTAAACGAGTCGGGGTACAGTGCACGACCATTGAGAAATTTCTTCATTGTATTTGTAAGAGAGAAAAAAAACCGCATTACCGTAGTGTGCCTGGATGCCTAAAATATCATCGGAGTGCAGCTGGAAGTTTGGCACGTAGCCGGCGTAGAACGCAAACATCAGCGCCCCCTGTACATTGGAATGCCCCAAGCCCAGGCTGTGACCGAACTCGTGCGCTGCCACCTGAAACAGGTTGATTCCTACAGGAAAACACAAACAATTCCGTGAATAAAGAGATGTCTGAGACTTGTACAGGTTTGCATGGTGGACTGTGGACATGAACAAAGTATATGGCAGATTAGCTGTGATACCATGTGAATATTATCTCTCTTGAGTTGTGTGGTTCTGAGAGGAACCAGGCAATGTTCGTCATCAGTCTCATGATGACGAACAGAGCACAATGTTCGAAACGTTGAATTAAAACAACTGATTCTGTTCAGAACCACACGACTCAAATAAGAGATATACCTGTTTCACTGTACCTAAATCAAATCTGTCGCCATGAAAACGACATTATGATTTGTACTTTTTTGGTTTGAGTTCAATGTGTGAAATTCAAGTGAAACTAGAAATGTGTTTGTGGACAAACACTGAGCTGTTTCGACCGTTTTATTAATGACTGCCGTAAAGGAGTTTCATCCAGGTCGAATGAACATGTACATGCGTATTCTATACAAAAAGTGTCTATCCTACGTCCCTGACTATGCATGAACATGAAATCTGTCAAAGTTAGCCGGAAATCGGCTAAAACGGTCACTGTGGACAGGATAGACCTCAGCAACACGTGCGCTGCGCGCGGGCTGACTGACATACGATATGTACAACGTACGTGCATGTACATGTACATGTACATTGTGGACTGTGCATGTTTTAAAGCAGAGTTATTGTCAACCTGAAGTTTTAAGCGTGCGCAGGGCATGTCCGAGTTTGCTTATTGCCTTGAAGCTTTGAAATATTTTAGACCTACCCATAAATAGACAATTACAGTAAAAACTAATGTAAAAACTGCCATGGTTGATTTTTCAGGAATTTTTTAAGGAAAAAGGGTCTTTTCATTATAACTTCCGGTCTGATGACGTCATACACCTTAAACTTTGCACACGTCTTAAGTGGGTCAAGGTCATCATATACACCAATATTTAGGCGATTCCGACAAACTTCGCCACAGACATCTATTCAAAATACATTTTTGAAAATATTCAACCTGTCGCTAGAGGGCGCTCGAAGATTGCATGACGTCATCGGTAGATGATTTGAAGAATACTATCAGCAAAGAGACTAACACCGTTAAAAGCAAGATCATATCTATTACCACTTTTAAATAATAAGCCACTTCCGGTTTGGGCCTTTTTCGACCGGAAGCAAGGGTCACGTGATTTTACGCACACTGAATGAAATAAAGACCTCAACCTACTCTACCACTTGCCGGCAACAGAATGCTGCGGACGCGTACGGTTGATTTCTTATGCATTTTTAAATATTAAAAGTGTCACAATTTAATTGCCCATAAATAAACACCGGATGACGTCATCATGACGTCATCGTTACACAATGTTGTTTGAATTAGGGTCATTGCTTGCACAAAGATTGGTGTAGATGAATTACTGGCAAAGTGTCGAAAATGCCCTCTGAAAATTGACATTTTTTTTAAATTTCTGTGTACAAAGTCTATGGGAAAAATTAAATATTCAAAAATCTATAATAAATCACGTGATGACGTCAGCATGACGAAAAGTTTCAGTGCACATCTTCAGATGGTGGTCTAAGTGTGTGCCGGGTTTGAAGTCGATCGGATTTGAAAAAAGTCCAAAAGTGCGTTGTAGAACGAAAACACGTGTTATCCTATGGGAAAAAAAGTGGAAGAAAAAAAAAAAGAGAAACTAGAGATCTATGTCTGTTTGCAACAGAACATAGGGCTTTTCCGCATTATGATTGTTTTATCAATAATACGTCTCTGACTATGCATGAACATAAAGTCTGTCAAAGTTAGCCGAAAATCGGCTAAAACGGTCACTGTTTTCAGGATTTGACCTCAGCAACACTTGCCCTGCAGTCTGACTGACATAAGATGTACATGTGCGTATGTACAACGTACGTGCATGTACATGTACATGTACATTGTGGACGTCCTGTGCATGTTTTGTCAAAGTTAGCCGAAAATCGGCTAAAACGGTCACTGTGGTCAGGATTTGACCTCAGCAACACGTGCGCTAGCGCTGCGGGCTGACTGACATACGATGTATGTGCGTATGTACAACGTACGTGCATGTACATGTACACTGTGGACGTCCTGTGCATGTTTTAAAGCAGAGGTATATTGTCAACTTGAAGTTTTAAGCGTGCATGTGCCATGTTCGAGTTCGCTTATTGCCTCGAAGCTTTGAAATGTTTTAGACCTACCCTTAAATCGACAATTAAAGTAAAAACAAATATAAAAACTGCCATGGTTGATTTTTCAGGAATTTTCAAAGGAAAAAGGGTCTTTTCATTATAACTTCCGGTCTGATGACGTCATACGCCTAAAACTTCTCACACGTCTTAAGGGGGTCAAGGTCATCCTATACACCAGTATTTAGGCGATTCTGACAAACTTCACCACAGACATCTATTCAAAACACATTTTTGAAAATTTTCAACCTGTCGCTAGAGGGCGCTCGAATATTGCATGACGTCATTGGTAAATGATTTGAAAAATACTATTGGCCGAGAGACTAACACCGTTAAAAGCAAGTTCATATCTATTACCACTTTTAAATGAAAAGCCACTTCCGGTTTTGGCCTTTTTCGACCGGAAGCAAGGGTCACGTGATTTCTCGCACACTGAATGAAATAAAGACCTCCACCTACTCTACCACTTGCCGGCAACAGAATGCTGCGGACGCGTATGGTCGATTTCTTATGCATTTTTAAATATTAAAAGTGTCACAATTTATTTGCCTATCAATCAACACAGGATGACGTCATCATGACGTCATCATTCCACAATGTTGTTTGAATTAGGGTCTTTGCTTGGACAAAGAGTGGTGTAAATGAATTACTGGCAAAGAGTCGAAAATGTCCTTTGAAAATCGACAACTTTTTTTAAAATTTCTGTGTATAAAGTCTATGGGAAAAATTAAATATTCAAAAATCTATAATAAATTAGTCGATGACGTCACCATGACGTCAATCTTCGGGACACATCTTTGCTATAGGGACTATGCTTATGCAAACTTTGAATGATGTCTGACAAAGATTAATGCCAAAAGTGGAGGCCAGAAAAAACGTGCACAAAGTCTATGGGGTTTTGGCGACAAAAAGAAGGAAAAAACTAGAGATCTATGTCTGTTTGCAACAGAACATAGGGCTTTTCCGCATTATGATTTTTTTTAATCAATAATATGCCCTGAATATGCATGAACATAAAATCTGTCAAAGTTAGCCGAAAATCGGCTAAAACGGTCACTGTGGACAGGATTTGACCTCGGCAATACGATGTATGTGCGTGTGCACAAGGTCTTTGCTTGGACAAAGAGTGATCTAAATAAATTACTGGCAAAGAGTCGAAAACGCACTTTGAAAATCGACAAAAATTTTTAATTTGTTGATGACGTCATCGTGACGTCACTTCGAACTTTGCATACTAGTATGATTAACTACCTACCCACCAAGTTTCATGACAATTGGACCTTTCCTTATATGAGTTTTGCAAAATCGCATTTTGATGACGTCATGATGACGTCACACTTTTTTTTCAAGTTTTGTGCAAATAGCTATTACATAACAGACCAAATGCAAAAAAGAATTTTGCATTTTGCATGTTGCGTTCGGGAGATATGGCTAAAAGTCCAAACAAATAAATATTATATAAAATCTCAAGATGACGTCATCATGACGTCACCTCATTTTTAATCTATAACACATCCTGGTATAGCCACATACCAAGTTTCAACCCAATCGGACTTACATTTCTGTAGATATAAGACTTCACAATATGTACGTAAATTTTCAAAAGTCAATAAAGAATTAGGTGATGACGTCATCGTGAGTCATAGTCTTGGCATAATTTTTGTATGAGGGTCTTTCTTGGCTGTAACTTTGATGACGATTCCAGATCGCCAAAATACGAAAATGGTGGCTTGAAAACGTGTACAAAGTCAATAGGTTAAAAATCCCACTGCAGAAAAACTGCACCTTTAAATGCGTGATTTTCCTTTAAACTGAAACATTTTTATAAAATATTACTTGCTATTCTAACTCTTGGGAATATTTTCAATCAAATGAAAGGCGTAAAAAAATACGATTTCTTTTTCCTTCTCATAGTAATTCTCAGCCGAAGTTCAGAACTACTCAGTAAGATATATCAGTGTTGTATAGGGAAAGACTTGTGGAGAAAGCTGTGTACAAAGTCTATGAGAAAAATTAATTATTCATAAATCCATAATAAATCACTTGATGACGTCACCATGACGTCACTCTTCGGGACACGTCTTGGCTATAGGGACTATGCTTATGCCAACTTTCAATGATATCTGAAAAAGATTAATGCCAAGAGTGCTATAATACGTCCATGTGCATGCATGAACATAAAATCTGTCAAAGTTAGCCGAAAATCGGCTAAAACGGTCACTGTGGACAGGATTTGACCTCAGCAACACGTGCGCTGCAGGCTGACTGACATACGATGTACGTGCCTATGTACAACGTACGTGCATGTACATGCACATTGTGGACGTCCTGTCCTGTGCATGTTTTGAAGCAGAGGTATTGTCAACGTGAAGTTTTAAGCGTGCACAGGGTATGTTCGAGTTTGCTTATCGCCTCGAAACTTTGAAATGTTTTAGACCTACCCTTCAATCGACAATTAAAGTAAAAACAAATATAAAAACTGCCATGGTTGATTTTTCAGGAATTTTCAAATGAAAAAGGGTCTTTTTATTGTAACTTCCGGTCTGATGACGTCATTTGCCTAAAACTTCGCACACGTCTTAAGTGGGTCAAGGTCATCATATACACCAATATTTAGGCGATTACGACAAACTTCGCCACAGACATCTATTCAAAATACATTTTTGCTAATTTTCAACCCGTCGCTAGAGGGCGCTCGAAGATTGCATGACGTCATCGGTAGATGATTTGAAGAATACTATTTGCCAAGAGACTAACACCGTTAAAAGCAAGTTTATATCTATTACCACTTTCAAATGATAAGCCACTTCCGGTTTGGGCCTTTTTCGACCGGAAGCAAGGGTCACGTGATTTCACGTACAGTGAATAAAATAAAGACCTCAACCTATTCTACCACTTGCCGGCAACAAAATGCTGCGGACGCGTACGGTTGATTTCTTATGCATTTTTGAATATTAAAAGTGTCACAATTTAATTGCCTATAAATACACACCTGATGACGTCATCATGACGTCATCATTACACAATGTTGTTTAAATTAGGGTCTTTGCTTAGACAAAGAGTGGTGTAAATGAATTACTGGCAAAGAGTCAAAAATGCCCTTTGCAAATCGACAATTTTTTTTAATCTTCTGTGTACAAAGTCTATGGGGAAAATTAAATATTCAAAAATCTATAATAAATTAGTCGATGACGTCACCATGACGTCAATCTTCGGGACAGATCTTTGCTATAGGGACTATGCTTATGCTAACTTTGAATGATGTAGGACAAAGATTAATGCCAAAAGTGGCGTTGAGAAAAAACGTGCACAAAGTCTATGGGATTTAGGCGACAAAAAGAAGAAGCCAAAAAAAAAAAAAAAAATGAGAACAAAAACAAAGGCTTTTCCGCAACTTTGCGGAAAAGCCAAAAAAAAAAAAAAAAAGAGAACAAAAACAAAGGCTTTTCCGCACTATGCGGAAAAGCCAAAAAAAATGAGAACAAAAACAAAGGCTTTTTCGCAAAATTGCGAAAAAGCCAATGAGAACAAAAACAAAGGCTTTTCCGCAACTTTGCGGAAAAGCCAAAAAAAAAGAAAGAAAAAAATCAGAACAAAAAGAAAGGCTTTTTCGCAAAATTGCGAAAAAGCCCCCCCCCAAAAAAAAATCAGAACAAAAAGAAAGGCTTTTTCGCAAAATTGCGAAAAAGCCAAAAAAATAAAAAAAAGTAAAAGAAAAAAAAAATCTTAACGAAAACAAGAGCTGTTTCGGTGTGTCACCGAAACAGCTAAAAAAAAAAAAAATCAGAACAAAAAGAAAGGCTTTTTCGCAAAATTGCGAAAAAGCCAAAAAAAAAATAACAAAAACAAGAGCTGTTTCGGTGTGTACACCGAAACAGCTAATAATTCACATCGAATCAAATTGTGATAAGGCCCCAACAAAAATAAGTCGGTCTCTGGTCAGCGCGCGCGTCGATTTTAATCACGCGCGTAAATCTGTTTTTCCCAAAATGTTCCGCGGTAGCTCCAACAGCGCCCTCTATTGCTACACCTCTATTGCAATTTTTTTTTTTAATAAAGAGCACTAAGGAATGGGAAATTGCACCAAGGCAAATGATCGAGAGTACCAGGGCAAATTATGGAGGACACTAGCGTACATGAGGACACCAAAAAAAGCAAAATAGTACCCCACCTTGTCTGTACAATCCAAGCTTGAAGAAAAAAAAAAAAAAAGCCGCGTCCCCGCGTCAATTCCGGAACTTTGGTCTGACCAGAGACCGAATATTTATTTTTGGCCTAATCTTACAATTAATGCAGTATTACACTAAATGTGATTATTTGCAAAATGGAAAAGTGAGGATCGTTTCTGAGGAGCCGTGGACGTTATAAATCTCAGTGAACGTTCAAAATCGTATTTATACAATTAGTGACCGTTGGAAACAAAATCACCAACTACACGGTATAAATCCATTATTGCTATTGTGGGATCTAATCAGAATACAGGAAGCAAGTTTTCCCCCAGGGTCTACAATTGTTTCGAGATTGAAAGCAGAACCTGGGAACGAGGTTATAAACACGTGGAATGGAATACGAACCACTCTGCAGGCTTGTACAAAATAATGTTAAGAAATATTTTTTTTGTTCATTTTATCAGGGCAGGCATTTAGTCGAGTCCATCACAAGTCCATCACAAGTCCAGCACAAGTGCAGTCACAAGTGCAGTCACAAGTGCAGTCACAAGTCTAGTCACAAGTCTAGTCACAAGTCTAGTCACAAGTGCAGTCACAAGTCCAGTCATAAGTCCAGTCACAAGTAACAGTGGATGAACAATAACAAAGGAATGTCCTTTGTCAAAGCTCATTTGAATAGCTTGTGAGCTAAATTGGGACTGGAGGACTTGTGATGGACCTGCAGGGATTTATGATGGACTTGCAGGGACTTGTGATGGGCTCGAGTAGTCGACTTCATCCCTGGATCGAGGGAGCAGACATATTATGATTCCAGTTGGTCCCACCTGAGTTAGAGTTGATGGTCCACTGTTCTCCTTCGTCGAAATGAGCGTCTCCAATCTCCGGGTAGAAAGCGTGAGCCAGGACACCCCTCGGGCCGTCGAACGGGCTGCTGTCCCCGTGGCCCTGGTTGCTTGGGGCGAAGAAGATGACAATGTCGGCCGGAGTGTTGCCAGTAACTCGGGTGAAAGTCAACGGTGTGACGTCCGACCAGACCTAAATAGCACAAGACAGGAAAAACCAAGATAAGGCAAGCCCAGCAAAGCTGGTCACATAGTGCACAAATTTGTGTTCAATTGGTCCAGAATGGTTATTCACTGGAAGTCTTTTCATGCATCTGGTTTACACGATGGGCCAGATTCAGCACACTTTGGGATAATTCTATAAGATAGCACTGCCCGGTTCTCTTCAACAGCCAACAAACCAGTCACCAGTGACAGTCAGTCGGTCAGTCGGTCGGGCAGTCAGTCACTTGTCAGTGAGTCAATCAGGCTCAAGGAGGACACTAGTCTGGCACTCTGGGACCAGCAAATGCAACACTGTTAATTTCGTACTATGCGGCATTTCATAAACTACGGCGAAATATCTGTTCGGTCAAAGCTTAAAGGATTTATATTTTATACACTAAGTTCCTGGTGAGATTTGATGCGGGATCCCGGTTCTATTTGGCCTGACACTTTCATGGGTTGAAACTGGCACTCTTACGCGTCAAGGCTGACGCTGAAACTCATTTCCCTGGTCATTTTAACCCAGAAAACCTGCACGAAAGGGTCATGTTGACCCGGAGAGGTGTCACTTTTGACTCTATAAAAAAGTGCCAGGCGGAACAGAACTCGGATTCTGGGTCAATGTGGCCAGGCACTTTTGAGAGTGTAGAATACCTTCAGAGCTGCGGCCATGGTTGCATCAACGTCGGCTCGGTCGGGGATGTCAGGGGTCGTGTTGTCGATGCGATAGGTCAGGTCGGTTCTGCTCCATGTTGGTCCGAGGGAGAACCGCTTCTTCCGTCTAGCGTCCAAGGCGTGACCGATGTTGTCCGGCATGCCGCAACGAGACATGTTCATCATGTCCATGGTGTCTTGATCAAGTTCACCTGCATGGGGAAGGTACGACAATCAGTGTGGCACACCCGATAACACTGGGAGTAGGGAAATTACGTCTCCCAACATATTTTCAACTTAATAAAAATAGTAATGTGCGGTGATATCAGCACAATCTGGTGTCTACCCTTACAAGTACCCGTTGATACTCCCGGGTGGTGAGAGGCAATTGTAGTAAAGTGTCTTGCCCAAGAACACAAATACCATGTTCCCCGTCAGGGGAACACGTCACAGCACATGCACCACGTCACATGGGTCCAACACCGTAACCATTGTATCACGGCGCTCCACATATATTGTGACTGTATTTTAATGAAAACTACACATTGTCTATTTTTTTTGGCGTGTGCAACCCTCTTGCAAAGTGATCTGTTTTGCGAGCAGACTGGTTCATGAGATCATGAGATAGGAGGCGGGATCCAGTCTACCCTGCGAGAACTTAAATAATTGTCATGCTGTAAATAATTTGAAATGTTTAAAGTAATTATTCCATTCCTAAATGTTGGTCTTTCTTTGTTTCTTTCGATGTCTCATTCAAAAGTTACTTTTGTACTGTTACAGCAATTTAATTTAAAAACAAATAAAAAAATAAAAATAAAAAAACCTATTTTGCGTTGAAATTCGTTGACAGCACCTTTTTACGTTGGACGGATTTCACAACGAATTTCAAAGATCACCTTACATCCTAAATATGAAATCATGAAATAAATAAGATAGTTTTGCCCTTTTAACTCGGACGGGTGGTAAATCATGGGTCTAGTCGAACATCTCTCTCTTTTCTTGGATTCTGACCATTATTGCTGTATAGATTGTGTGCGAATAAAACATGCCTCTTTAAACAATCAGTTTTCAGTTCGATTCCCTTCCATGGATATGATATGCAGTTTAGTATTGTGACAAATTCTTGTTTTAATTTTGATGCGAGGGTAGACCAGGAAACAAAATTATTTACTTATAACAAGGTCAATGTGTTGTACACATGATATACACCACAGGTGTACAGGAGGACATCACTTGGCATCCCGTGCACAAACCGTATGAGACTGATCTAACAAATTCCTTGAATTTCACAGTAAATGCTTCAATATTTTCCCTGCTAAATTTGACTTTTGAGGACATGTTTTCGCTTTCTGATGGCTGATAGGTCACTGCAGGGAAAATTTAGTGATGTCCATGTATATGGAATTCTTCCCGTATAGGAAAAGGTCATTGTTTTAAAGGGATCCTTTCATCTCAAATGCAGCCTTTTAGGGCTTTAAAACGTGTTTCTGCAATGTTATAAAAACACAAAAGTTGGTAACAAACTGTTGGACACTTCACCCAACTTTGGTATTAATTACTGAAATTGTCGGTTAATTCGGGTTAAAAAAAATTACCAATTATTGGGAAGAGTTTACCCAAAAGTGTCTGCAGTTGGTATGTTGACCAACCATTCAGCAAAAAAAACCCCAGACCGTTCGCCCAACCTCTTGGTGTGTGTAACGGAATGATAACAGTTTGACATATTGCCAAATCTACACAACTATACATCTTCAAAATTTGCAGTTTTCATGTAATTATTGCGCGAAGGAGTTGCGTGGTACAAAAAGTTTGGTCCTCATCAAATCAATCAAGCCGTTGGAAAGCAATTCGTCATTCCAGTCACGCGTGTTTATTTTAATGATAAAGCCAAACAGTAAACGAAGCCGAGCTTTGAAAAAGGCCCACCATGTTAATTTTTAGCCGTGGCGGCTACCTGACCGACCTCATCCCCAGTGCTTACTTTATTTCCAACCTCCTTTCCAATAGTAAGCCCTGGATAGGAAACTTTCTTCCTGTATCCTGATTCGATACCGCATTAGCAAGAACTGGATTTGTATCGTGTACTTGGTGTTATTTCCAACGTGTATTACGTTTTTTTACGTTCATTGTAATTATTACGTCCACACCTTCTGACTAAGAATAAGTTCCTTTCCAATTTGTTCATTTTAATATGAAAATGTGATACTTCATATTGACTGGATAACATTGTAAACATCGTGTTTTCGTAACTCACGCCATTTCTCTCGCCGCGACGAATTGATTGTACCCCAGACACCACATGCAAAAAAACCCCCAAGCTGATGTAAAGCACAGGACGGCACCAGACTATTCATCATTTACATGCGTGTTCAAAACTTTCACACATGCATATGATCCAGTGCCAGGGTGAGAGAGCAGGTAGTGGTGAGCGCGTTCTGTTCCACACCATGTGGACGAGGTTGGCTACCTGACCTACACATTTATGACGTCAGTGATTTGCCAGGTCAGGGAACCAGACTAATGCGCAGTGGGCGGGCCATTTAATGGATCAGTCCATTGTTCACGTACTCACCGGTTTGTGTCAAGTTGGCCATGTACTGGAAGTTCAGTATCCCTTGTCGTTTCTCATTAGCATCCATACCGGTCCCGTCGGTCGACTGTCTTTTTAAGTAGCCGAAGTCGCTTAGATACGTCTGTCAAATTCAAGAACAACAATATTTCCATTACAAAGTTTGGGACAACTTTGGTGCTACAGTTTGGCTAGTAATGAGCGTAAAATCTGGGAAATATTGGAGCTAAGTACCTTATAATGTTTCATTCATTTTTAAGTTTTTATTTATTGATTGATTGATTTATTTGGGTACAATATCACTATTTAGAAACTCGAAAGCTGACTGGTACAGTGATTTATGTTAAAAGGTAAATTAAATTAAAAAATAAACACAATTCAAGAGCAAATAAAACACATACAAAAATCGACAAATACAAACCATTATTCTAAAAAAAATCAAGCTTAGATGACCCCCCCCCCCCAAAAAAAACCCCGTAAACATTTTGTGTGTGCTTACCATGGGATCGAAGGGATTCTCCACGGGCCGGGAGTGAATAAGCGTTACAGCACTGGCCAGCAGTGCCGTCAAAAGTAGCGTAAGCCCCGTCATCGTCACAGGCCGTTTCACGCTGAGGCGCAGCAAATTTCAACTTGAGGTGGTGGAAATATTCTAAAACAAGTGTTCTTTTTACGCCGCCAGCTGCATTTGATACCCTGCCCAATTACTCGGGCTCCTTTTATGTGTTGTGTGAACATGTTTCGTCATTGCGATGACGTAAGACGTAGTGCGCTCTGGCGGCCGACTTCCTTTCTCGGGATTGGCTGACGCGTGCGTGAAGTTTGTAGTCACGGGGATTTTTGTTGGCCAATAAGAGAGCAGTTCAAAGCTGTTATTGGCGGGTGGCTGTTCAGGGTTAATGGTGATAGTTCCACTGCACTCCACCAAACACGCGCTCATATAGAAAACAACACAGAATTCGGACATAAAAAGCGCCACCTGGTGGCGCTCAGGAGCAAGGCGGCAATGTGTTTCTCACCGGAATTAAAGATTACGACCTCTTAGGTTTCTTTTTCAATTTTACCAGAGAAAGCCATTTTTTATTTTTATAAATATTCCCTTCTCCAAACCATTCCTAAAATGGTTGCCAATCTACGGGCCCAGGTCTAAGTGTAGCCCCCGACCTCTCGATGCGAAAGATGCCCACAAGTGGGGTTTTGTGAAGGAAACCCCTCGAGTTGGAAGCCACACGTTACAAAAGCTTGATCTCCAGAAATATTTCTACAATGTGTCCCAAGTATAGGCCACAAGGACTTCTTATTCAAAGTTACCTGTGGAGATCACAACATATAATTGAGCTCGCGGGCAGTAATTCACAGCTCTGTGGTGCTATGCACCCTGATAAGACAACATTACCAAAGTTGGTCATGGCCGTTTCTTTATACGTTTTCATATCATGAACAACTCATAATAAACAACTCATAATGCCCTCGAGCTGCGAAAACCACGACATTGTGGACAACATGCCATGAAGTTGGGATCACATTTTGTACAAGATTTGCATCGTCATGAAAAAAAAAAACCAGCAAAAAAAAAAAAAAAAAAAACACCACAAAGTTAAACACATGCAACTTTACAAGAATAGGCCTATTATAGGGAAGCTTTACCTGACTATTATTGTTGGCTGGCCGTAGTATTAAGACGGGCGGTCAGCGATATGCGACGTCGTGCTGCAGAGCTTTGTGTGGAAAGAGGTGGTAGCCACGTTGAAGGCACGTTGAAGTCATCCGTGGCCACAGACACACAATCAAGGTAGCATTGGAAAGAGGACACATTGGTGTTTTCGTGATCTTTAACTTATTTGAAATTATTTATTAGATCTTTGATAATTAACATTTACATCTGGGTTTCTTTTTTTTTCATATACACACCGTATAGTTTAATTTAAAATTGTAATTAATATAACACGCCACTTGTGTGGCGCGGTCTTCGTTAGTTTACCAGGAATTGAAAGAACTTTTAGGTAAATATTTGTCTCAGTTTGATGGAAGTTACAAACGTTATCAGGAAAAGAAAGATCATTATTTTTTCAGCGGCCTTGGTTGGTTTGTATACTCAACGAGCCAATCTATGTTTGGGTTGGGTGTCAGCAAAAATACCACCAATGACTTTTTTTATAAATCAATTGAAAGTGCAAGCTGGGTGTATGTTCTACGAAACAAAAGGCACGCGATGTCAATGTTCACATATGAGTTTTCAACTGTGGTTAAAGGGAATATACATCATTTGCTTTTGCTGTAATTTTCAGAAATGGATGGAATTGGGGGGTTAGAAATATATAGCAAATATAGTTACACTGACTTTTTTGAGGTTTTGGGTTCGAAAATGCTATAAAAACCAAGAAAAACGATCATTTTCCTGTAGTCTGGTTCCCTGACTCCATATAAGAAGAAACAGAGCAGTTTACATACATTGGGGAATTGTAAGGTCAGCGAACCAGTCTAGCTGGCTCGTACCCGTTCATAGGTTTGTAATCGATTGCAAACAAGTGCGATGGTCAATTGGGGCCAGTATTTGAAAAAAAGCCAGTTGTTTCCAACGCTGATCAGCCGATCAGCGTTGGAAATTGATACAAAAATACCACTTTTCTTGAAAATGACAGTATACCAGGTGCCATGATTTTACAGTATGCTTTACACTGTCATTCACTAACAGTCCAGCAAGTCATTTCAAAATGATTTGGTAGTTTTATTTTTTGATGTTTGCAAATGTTGTATTTTCCCTTTAAACACCGCACCATATTATGATAGCAAACTCATACAATAGAGGAATATTCCTCCATGCTTATACCGGAGGCACGCTAAAAGGAAGTGTAGGAAACGAGCATGGGGCTATTAATCGACTGAGCTCCTGCCTAACATGGAGTGCGAATAAAAAAAAAGTGAATGACATAATTCCAACTAAAGTGCAGTGTCGGAGGGGCTGGATAAAGGGGTCTAAATCCCTCTTGGACAGCAAAATAGGAATATCATGCAGAAAAACACAGTAAATGTATGATAAACCCCTTCTTTTCAGCTAAACCTCCCTCTTGATCCAAAACTGGATCCGCCCCTGCAATGTGTGATAAAGAACTGTATAAAATAAAGTCAATTTGTAAGACTTCAAAGCAGGCATAATTTACATATCATACAGAAACAAGTTCAGAGCTTTACGCAAATTCGGTATATAAACAGCTCCAAATCGATCTCTATTTGAACTTAGTAACAACGAATGCACTTAAAGATTAATTTGGGCATGCCTATGCAAGCGACTTACAAAAAGCATGGTCATGGGCATCGCCAGGATTTTTTCTAGAGGGAGGCAAAACATATTTTTGTCAAAAAAATGCCTGTATTTCTCTAAACATTCTCGATTTATCAGTTTTAGAGGGGGGCAGGGACATTTTGGTCCCCCCAACCTATTAAATTTACACCACTATGACTTCGCACCTTTTTTCTTTACTTTTGTCTCTTTTTTTCCCTTCTGTTTTTGGGTGCTTTTTTTGCTTTTCCGGGGGGGGGGGGGGCAAGTGCCCCCTTGCCTCCCCCCTCGCGACGCCCATGAGCATTGTCCACTATCTTTGCCTTTATAACGCAAAACGTCTATCGGTATTAAGCAGTGAATTTATACAATTCGCATGTCACAATAAGCACACATGATGGCCCCATTGTTATTGCTAAACATTAAGTTCCCAATTCCATAATTAGAATGCGACAACAAAAACATTTCAAGGAAATTAGTTCACGAAAACATTTCAAGGTAATCGTGTTTTTCTTTTGACTTTTTTTTTTTTAAAGATGACTCTCTGTGCTCATCAACAAATTCAACTATTCTCTCCTAACGAATTTCCAACTTACACGTTTTAGTTTAGTGAAAAAAAACCTTACTTTTCATCTGTTTTGGACATCTGCAGCCTTTTGTAAAGTGGCTTTTGGGTTACTTTTACACAAAAACAGATCCGCTTGTGATCCTGGCTCCCAATCCCTACATTATAGATGCTTACATTGGCGGGACCAGTGGAAATTAATTGATGTCGGGCGGTACTCGGGCCACAAGTAATAATTTGGAATTTGTAAAGTAAATTTTCCATAAGTAAACTCGGCAGATTTGTTTTCGTTCGATGCCGTATTAACGATTGCCGTGGAACAACATTTGTATTGCTTTAAAAAAAGCAAATTAAAAACAAAATCTAAATATCGGGTGAAACTTGAAAATAACAAGGACCGGTACATCTCTACAGGTGTCATTTACAACATTACATAACACATTTAAGGAGACATTTTGTAGTAAGCATTAAGGAGACATTTTGTAGTAAGCATAGGACGACATTGGTCATTGGGGAAACATTTTTGGTCTCCCTAATTCTTTAACTATACCTTTTCTAGAACTAATTTTAATGGAGCAAAATGCTTTAAAATGGTTTATTCGGTAAAGAATAGTATAATATTAAAAGGTTTAAGGAGGGGGAGTATTTTCAAATGGGTTAATATGGGAGACTTTATGTTGGCTCTGCACAAGTCTAAAGGAATGGCTCCTTAATGAACCATTTTCGGTACAAACGAACGGACCCAATTTGGAAAACAAATCACCTAGTTTGCTTGGAAGTTGAATACTTCAGGCGCGGATCCAGAAGGGGGGTTTTGGGGGTCAACCCCCCCCCCGCTCTGTAAAAAAATAAAAAAAATAAAACAAATTCCTAAAAAATAAGTCGAACACCCCCCCCCCCCCTGCTGTGACACCCCCCAAAAATTATACTGGTATAATGTCTGCCTGTTCAAAATACGGTACACCATTCTGTAATCTAGTGTTAATAATCGTCGAATTTGAACAGCACCCCTATTGAAATATGGTACCAGCTCCCCCCCCCCCCCCTCAGTTTTTTATTTTACGGAGGCCAAGTGTCCGGAGAAAAAAACCTGTGTACATTTTCAGATTTTTTTTGCTGATGAAACCCCCCCCTGCGAAATCATTCCTCGATCCGCCCCTGATTTTGGTATCGCCAGAACAGCACACCCCGCTATCACAAGTTTCCCTCCTGTTGTCAGAAATGTACTATAAAGTACAGTGCATGGAATTTGTCGAATTACAGGAACAATTGACAGTTGACAGGATATCCGCCCAGTTTCCAATTCCAGCGATGCGCTGGTGTTGTTGCAGGTTGCGGGCAGCGCATCCGAAAGTTTGGTCTCTGCATTGCAATGTCATTCTAGATTGTTGGGATTGATCCAGTGGTCGGTGGTCATACGGTAAGTTGATCAAACCATGGTCCAACTGGCCACTGGGGTGTCGGTCAGTTGGTCAGTTGGTCAGTTGGTCAGTTGGTCAGTTGGTCAGTTGGTCAGTAAAGTGAAGTAAAGTCTGTCACGAGCCAAGTGGCCCATCAGGCCGGCATTCATCTCCGGTGTCAGTTGCATGAAACGACTGAGAATATTTCCATTCCCCTTGAATGTGATGCCAGTCCATCGCAGGTTACTCCCCAGCTAACGCCGGTATCCATTTACACTCCTGGGTGGAGATAGGCAAGTGGGGGTGGAGTGGCTTGCCCAAGGACACAACATAATGACCAGCAGCTGGATTTGAACCCCTGACCCTCTGATCATGAGTCACAAACCCTAACCACTAGGCCACACTCCCCCTCAGTTGGTCAGTGTATTTTGTCTGTACCGGCGAATTCACAGCCACAATTTGGGATGGCTGAGTGGCCGGCCACTGCAAATTCAAAGAGCTGGGAGGGCTGGACCTCATTTAACGCTAGGGGCGCTCTTCTCCCATTTACATTCTTTTCTGCAACTTTAAAACAAGATAAAAATTTCTTTCTTTCTATTCATAATTTTTTTTTGACGAATCCGTATCAGGGAAAGGGGATGAGCATCGATTCAATGTGTTTTGCAGTGGTATTTGAAGGTTTAACATAGGGTTTGCAATAGGAGGTACACAACGTGCAGAACACATTGCGACCTTGACTTTTTTGTTGGGGGGCGGAGTTTATGGATCGAATTCCGATAAAACTGTTCGCTCGTACCCCACCCCCCCGCCCTGCAAACAGGACGCTGGGATACTCTGATGAGCTTCACAGAATCTGGTGAAGGAAGTGGCCTATGTATAAAGCATCTGGCTGCAGCTGTTCAAGACTGCAGTTAGACAATGTGCGCAAATGCTATCCGAAAACATCCCATAGAAATGCACACGTTCCATACCGGATGTGATTTCTGTTTCATTGCGGACCATGTGGACAAAATTTTGAGCGTCGTATTTTAATATGCAATCCGACCGTTCGTGATTCGAAACGGAGCCTGAGCAAGTGACGGACTTTTACAACACAGATAAGTTTTACAGAATTTCCTACATTATTACGCTTTTCAACGAAAAAAAAAATCTCTAAACTGGGATAAAAGAGTAACGAATCAGTCTTAACGGCCCTTTCAAACCTTGCAGAGTCATGGCCGTGATGACACGCAGGGCACAGGTCACGCAAAATCTAACCAATCAGAGCGTGAATTTATCAGAGTATCCCAGCGTCCTGTTTGCAGGGCGGGGGTACGAGCGAAATAAAACTGTAGGAACTAGGAAACCACAGTCCATGTGTTCAACTTGACACATAGCTTCCGACCTCTGTACTATACTTTCCTCTGGCACAAAAACATTTTGGTCCTCAAAAAAAAATTGAGCCGTCCTGGAACTAGTCGAAATTCGAGTCACACAATGATTATGTTCACGAAAAAAAAATTGCCTCGAACCGTGAGCACTTGGTTCGCCATGTGTGTAAGTTTGAAACTACCGTGGGACCTGGGCCCAATTTCATTGCTCTGCTTTATACCGTTAGCGAAAAATCCCTGCTTACTGTAACAGAACGTTCTGTGCTTACGGTAAGCATATTTATGGGTTAGCGAGGAATTTTGACTTCTACGCATGCGTACATCCCTAAAGGATTATGTGCTTACAGGTGCATTTTGAAGAAATTAATTAACTTTTTGTTGCCCTTTGGAGAATCTTCAATTCAGTTACCGTCACAGGATATTTCATCGATGTGTGACTTTTAGTCAAGACCTCACAAAATCCTCACATAAGTCAATCACAATTAAATCCTTCGATCTAAATCACTCACAAACTATTCCAAATTAACTATGATTAGATTTTCTTATGCATATTTGCTCTCAACAAGACTCGAAGCCACTTAAGGTACATGGCTACATGAGAAAAATAAAAAGAAGAGTAGATACTTAGGAGATCTGAAGGTAGGAATTAACATACCTCTTGAAACAGAACAGATCATAGGTTGGAGGGAAACAAGCACTAGGCAAGGAATTCCAAAGAGATGCAGCACGAGGGGAAAAGCTATTGGAATATCCTTTTGTTCTACATCTAGGTAATAACAACAGTAAATGGATGAGAACAGGTAGAAAGTCGGGTTTCTCTCTCAAACATTCTGATTGGAGGAACCAGGGTGGATGGTCTCCATCCTTGATATTTGCGGTCTTACTTGTGTCTGACTTGGGACTTGACTTGTGATGGATTCGACCAAAAGTCTGCATTGTCGTTGATGTTCAATTCGCTTGGGCCGGTGATTCTTGAGCGGCCTTTGCTGGTGGAATCGCTCGAAGTTCTATCTGCTCCGTCTGCTGCGGTCGGCGGCAGCGGTGGCACTGTCGAAGGAGCTTTGCCAGCGGGGGGAAAGCCTCCAAGAAAGCTGCTCGATACTGACTGTTCGTCACGCTGTACACCAGAGTATTGATGGAGCTGTTGATGAAGCGAAAGATTGCTGCGCAGAACAACATGTCAACACTGGTCCAGTAGATATCGAGAGCTTCTGCTGCTGAGTGCAAGGAGAACAGGAATATAAGGTAGACGACAAGGTAAACGATGTCCAATGTATTGAGCACGTAGAAGACAGCAGTGTTGATGACCAGCATGCGGACAACGGGGTAAACTCGACGGGTTTGGCCTGCTTGACGCTCTCGGTCACTGTGGCATAACTTAATAACGATGTAAATATGCGAGGAAATAGTTATGGTAAACGTAGCCAGGTAAATCAAGATGAAGATGACCACACATACTTGATTGAAAACCACGTTAGTGACATAATTGGTATCATTTGCGAGGCCACCCAAAGTGCCAGTGACAACTGCCACAACCCATACGCCTGCCGATACCTTGGCTGCTCGTGACTTGCTCGCTCGCGCTCTCTGGGTTAGTGGTTGGCGTACAGCGGAGAATCTCTCAACCGCTATGACAGTCACGAAGCAGTACGAAGCAATGTGCATAGTTGAAGAAGCTATGTTAACAGCTAGGAAAGCACCTGAAGCTACGTGTGTATCTTCTGTTGCCCATGTTGTCGACATGGCCAGAATCAGATAGACAGCGTCAGCCACTGCTAAATTCGACAGATAGACGTTGATGATCGTGCGCATGGACTTCACTCGAATTACCACGAAGAGAAAAATTGAGTTCAGAACGATTCCAATGGGGGCAACGATTTTGATAAAGTGATGGATTATGTCTTCGTAGTCTTGAGCATGAGCTTCGACATCACGGGCAAGCTGCCTCTCATGGGTTGTCAGTCCGTCGCTGTGTCTTATTGTTCCATTCATCTTTCTTTAATAGGATAACGTCTTGACAGGCTTGGTTCAAAAGTCGAAATGTATCTACATTTACAGCCAGATTATAACTCGTCTTGGGACGAAGCAATGTGAAATAAGAAAAGAAAGCAATAAACACTGGGCATGCATTATAACCAACTCACTCTTCGCGCGTGAAATGGCAATGTCAGAAAACTTAGTTTCCTTTTCGATCAGCGGACCCAATAGAGTTAAAGGCGCTATTTCGTGAATTGTGTATTTCTCAACTCACTCCAAGGGTGAGCTCTAACCTCTAGAGCATGGGTTCGTGCAGTTCAAATTACCCCTTTTGGGAATCGTTCTATAGCATGATTAACAATAACAATGTCCTGCAATCTTAGTCATGTGGTTTGAACCTAATTTGAACCCGTCACACCCCCACCCGATCCCACCCCGCCCCCATAGATTACCCAAGTTGTGCACACATTTCTAATTAACCTAAATTTCCGAGTGTTAGCTCTATAGACCATGTTAGATTTACAAATTGGATGTTCCAAAATTCCATCTTATAAATTGGATGTTGTTGTCACGTGATTTCAACTTTCAGCAAACTGATGTCTTCCGCACTGTGTATCCCTTGAAGTGGTGACGTAAAGTGTTTAACGTGGGCAAAATAACATGCAAAAGATGCTTAAATGTTGGGTTGCCTGTCAGTTGCCCGTTGGTAGCAATGGCAAGCCAGCTAGTCTGGCTCCCTGACCTGACAATTCCCCCACGTCAAAAAATTGCTCCATTTCTTCTAAAGTAGGGTCAGGGAATCAAACTACAAGAACAACATGATCTTGTTTTTTTTTCCAGCATATATGAACACAAAACCTTAAACACTACTATCAGTTTAACAAGATTGGCTATAAAATATCAACCCCCAAATCCATCAATTTCTGAAATTTACAGCAAAAGCAAATGCTATTTATTACCGTACCTTTAAGCATCATCCTTAATCCAATGTTTCGGAATCTATTTAACTTCCTGAACGTCAGAAGTTTCAATTTGCTTGCTCTTTTCCCCAGCATCTTCTTATACGTTTTCTGGTTTGCTTGAGACAATAGTGGTGATACCAAAAGTTCATTATCAAATTACGATTAAGTTTCCTCGTTTGTACCCTGTAGTCACAGTCACATGTTGAACGATTTACTCTCGAAGAGGTATTATATGGCTAAAAAGTCATCACGTGAACTCATAGTTTGGTCATTGCCCTCCGGCACAAAACCTAGTCTATGCAATATCCCCTACACAGCAAGGGTCTATGATATGCGAGCAGATTCGGCGATTATTCAAAACAAGACTGCGTGTTGACCTCGAGATTCTGACCATTCAGCGGGCGCCTTCTATCGGGTCTTCGGTAAACCCGTTGTTGTATTACAGAAACGTGACAACAAAATTGACCAACCAGCAGCTTAGTCCACATTTCTAATCGACATGACGTCCCAGTTTCCAAAGTCGACTCCGATTGGCTGGCTCGCGGGGTCGCATACAATTTGACTGCTAGGATATATCAGACGTTCGTCCGTGGCTCCGCACATGTAAATGTCTGATCCTTAGACTAATAATACACTGTACAGGCAAAAATTATCGAAAGTCCGATCTATGCGTTAGAAGTCAGAACAACGAAATAGCTCCCTTTAATTTCAATGAAGCTAATTTGTAAACTTCCTAAGGAGTTCAGTCGGGAAACTTTAATGTCTAATTTCTCGATTTTGAGAGAAAAAATTCCGGCCAAACGAATTGGAAACTGAGTATACCTGTAACTCTGTCACAGTTTGTCAGATTGCCATTTTGTACAGTCTTAGTATCAGCCGTAGTTCAACGGATCCCGCAGGCTCAGCAACAACGTTTGGTATAATTATGTGAGCATGCAAATCTTAATGAGACTCCGGGCGCAAGCCAATCGGAGTCCACTTTACAAATTGCGACGTCATTTGGAGCAGACAATCCTGCCTAAGCTGTTGAATGGTAAATTTTATGCACATGTTTTGTAATACACCAACGGGTTACTGAAGACCCAATAGAAGGCGCTCGCTGAATGGTCAGAATCTTGAGGTCAAGACGCAGTGTTGTTTTGCATGTGTCACCAATAAAACCCCAAATCATGGCTGAACAATTACAGTAATAAGTTCACGTGATGACTTTGTAGCTATAATCCCTTCAGAATGGAAAGTTCATCATGTGACTGTGACTAGTGTACAAACGAGGAAACACAATTGTGTTTCGATAATGAACTTTTGGTATCACTAGTATTGTCTCAAGTAAACCAGAAACTGCAAAACATTAAAAATAAAAATAAAAAAGAGCTAGGAAATTGAAAGTTCTAACGTCCAGGAAATTAGATTCCAAATGTTGGATCAAGGACGATGTTTAAATTGACTGCAGGTAATTCATATTTGTAGTCACGCATTTTTTATACAAACATTAGAATGTCATTATTGATATCAAATTTAATTGAGAGACAAAATGGAGTTTCATGACGTCGCACCCCAACGTATTTGAGGTGTTTGCAAATTGGAACAAAACAAAATTAGAATGGGAAACATCTGCCATTATTGGCTTAGTTCTATAGACCGTGTTACCTGTGCCGTCATACCAACGGGCAACCGACAGACAACCCAAACATTTAAGCATCTTTTGCATGTTATTTTGCCCACATTAAACAGTTGACGTCACCACTTTTACACCAATCACATTTCAAGGAATGCACATGCAGTGCTGAAGAGAACAGTTTGCTGAAAGTTGACATCACGTGACCACAGCATCCAATTTGTAAATTCATGTAACATGGTCTATAGAGCTAACACTCGGGAGTTTAGAAATATGTGCATAACTTGGCCAAACTTTGGGGTGGGTGGGATCGGGTGGGGATGTGGTGGGGCAGCGTGGGGGATGCAGGGTGTAATTAGGTTCCAACCATGTGACTAAGATTGCAGGACATTGCTACTGTTTATCATGCTATATAACAATATCCAATAGGGGTAATTTGAACTGCACAAACCCATGCTCTTAAGGTTCAAGCTTACCCTTGGAGGGAGTTGAAAACTACACAACTCACGAGATAGCGCCTTTAACACCATTGGATCTGCTGATCGAAATGGAAACTAAGTTTTCTGACATTCCCATTTAAGACGCAAAGAGTGAGTTTGTTATAATGCATGCCAAGTGTTTCTCGCTTTCTTTTCTGATTTCATATTGCTCGGACCCAAGACGAGTTATAATCTGGCTATCGATGTAGATACATTTCGACTTGCGAACCAAGCTGTTCAAGACGCCACCCTATAAGAAAGATGAATGGAACAATAGAACATAGCGACGGACTGACAGCCCACGAGAAGCAGCTTTTCCGTGATGTTGATGCTCATGCGCAAGACAACGACAGCATTACCCGTCAGTTTGTGAAAATCATCGCCCCCATCGGAATCCTGATGAACTCTATTTTTCTCTTCGTAGTAATTCGAGTGAAGTCCATGCACACGATCATCAACGTCTATCTGTCGAATTTAGCAGTGGCTGACGCTGCCTTTCTGATCCTAGGCATGTCAACAGCATGGGCAACAGAATATAGGCACATAGACTCAGGCGTTTCCCTAGCCTTAGCCATAGCTTCTTCAACGATGCAGATTGCTTCGTACTGCTTCGTGACTATCATAGCGGTTGAAAGATTCTCCGCCGTACGCCAACCGCTAACCCAGAGAGCGCGAGCGAGCAAGTCACGAGCAGCCAAGGTATCAGCAGGCGTCTGGGTTGCGGCAGTGGTCACGGGCGTGTTGGGTGGAGTCGCAACTGATCCCAATTATGTAACGAATGTGGTTTTCCATCAAGTATGTGTTGTCATCTTTCTCCTGATTTACCTGGCTTCGTTTACCATAACTATAACCTCATATATTTGCATCGTTATGAAGTTATACCACAGTGATCGAGAGCTTCAAGCAGGCCAGACCCGTCGAGTTTACCCGGTCGTCCGCATGCTGGTCATCAACACTGCTGTCTTCTTCATGCTCAGTTCAACGGATATCGCTGTCAGTGTTAATACCCTTATACTCCTGTTCTCCACGCTCTCACCGGCAGCCGTTATTGATCGCTTATGGACCATTCTCGACGTAGCGGTCTGTGTAGGAATCCTTCGCCTCATCAACAGCTCCATCAATACTCTGGTGTACAGCGTGACGAACAGTCAGTATCGAGCGGCTTTCTTGGAGGCTTTCCCCCCACTGGCAAAGCTCCTTCGACAGCGCCGCCGCTGCCGCCGACCGCAGCAGACGGAGCAGATAGAACTTCGAGCGATTCCACCAGCGAAGGCCGCTCAAGAATCACCGGCCCAAGCGAACTGAATATCGACGCCAATCCAGACTTTTAGTCGAGTCAATCACAAGTCAAGTCCCAAGTCAGACACAAGTAAGACCACAAATATCAAGGATGGAGACTATCCAACCTGGATCCTCCAATCAGAGTGTTTGAGAAACCTGACTTTCTGCCTGTTCTCATCCATATACTGTTGCAATTACCAAGATGTAGAACAAAAGGATATTTCCATAGCTTTTTTTCCCCACGTGCTGCATCTCTTTGGAATTCCTTGCCTGGTGCTTGTTTCCCTCCAACCTCAAGAGGAATGTTAATTCCTACCTTTAGTTTTCCTGATTATTCTTCTTTTTATTTTTATCTTGTATCCCTTTAACTTGAGTGGCTACAAGTCTTGTTGAGGGCAAATATGCATAAGAAACCCTAATCATAGTTACATTTGAATAGCTTGTGAGTAATTTAGATCGAAGGATTTCATTTCGATTGACTTATGTGAGGATTTTGTGAGGTCTTGACTAAAAGTCACACGTCGATGAAATATCCTGAGACGGTAACTGGATTGCAGATTCTGCTTAAAGGGCCCAATTTGCAGGCTATTTTTTTTCAAATTCAATCTTTTAAAATGCACGTTTGTGTCCCATTGAACCTAATTTTCAATTTTGTATTGTATTATACATGTGTGTAGACATTTGAAGTGTATGCAGGGCCCCAAATGGAAACCAGTTTTAAACTGTTTGGGCATACACTGGGTAAAGAAATGTAATAAATAAATAAATAAACAAATATAGAAATATACTCTATATTATGTACATTGATTAATTATGCTTCATGTTGTGAATTTACCTCTGTTTTTAGTACATAATCCATATTCTTTGGACATAATATTGTAGCTGTGCAGATTTGAATATTTCAAATGCCTTGCATGATCTCTTGTCATAAATGTTGCAATTTTAGAAATCATGCTCGCCCTGGTATATTTTTGTAATCACTATATTGTAACGGGAACCTGTTGGGCCCTTGTCCTCCGCATCCGGCAAAACGCAGGAAAAGGGGTCAAACACACAGGATTTCCAACTTCTGAAGAAACTCTTATGTATTCAGCAACAACTCTGTGGTCAACCTGCCACACTGCTACCAGTACCACGACTGATCATTCCCAGCATAGAAAAACACACAGTCTGAACAAATGTGTACAATTGTAACATTCTGTAATGACCCCGGCATCTTGCCAAACTATGAAGCCCGGGAAGGGACAGGGTGGAAATTTTTTTTGGCATTTGCTAATTAATTCGCACGAATTACTAGTTCGTTCGCACGAATTCCTAATTCGTTTGCACGAATTACTAATTCGTGCGAACGAATTAGTAATTCGTGGGAACGAATTAGTAATTCGTTCGCACGAATTACTAATTCGTTCCCACGAATAACTTATTCGTGCGAACGAATTAGCAAATGCCAAAGAAAATGTCCACCCTGTCCCTTCCCGGGCTTCATACCAAACCTTTCCCGCGTCCCCCAACAAAAGAAACCCACTTTAAGCAACCTATTTATAGAGCCCATTTCCGGATAGTTTTTTTTGTTTTGGGGGCCGTAAGGGGACATCATAGCCTATTTTTTTTTTTTTTCGTAATTCATACTCATATCGTTTTGAAAACGTAGCCTAATGAGTTGGTGTTCACCGTTTTTCAAGATTTGCAGTTTATCCCAGTTTATCTTTTGATAACTTATAAAACCTGAGCCTTTATTTCTCGGCACTGAATGGGGCATATTTAGGTCGATGTGTGAGCGAAGGCATCAAAACGAAACCAAAATACGTTGTAACAACTTAACAGTTGTATGAGGGCGCTCTTTCTCTTCAACTGTTCTTGTGGCAACCCAGCCTCCTCCATATTTGTGTACATATCACAATTTGTACAGTAGGTGGCGCGGTTCATAATACAATCTTGTATGAATATTTTTGTACATAAATTAGGTAAAGTAAAAAAATGTCACTTATTTGTCACTTAAAAATGCTTATTTGCTACCATACACATTTTCTTTTCAACACGCGTTTGGTTGTGCGTCTGTATAGTTCCTTACAAGTATGGATTTGTCTAAGATTTATTGGATGTTCTTGACATTTTGGTAGTAAAAGTAGGAAACGAATTCTTGCCCAGTTCACCGCAGTGCTGGATCTTCGAGGGGGGTGGGGGTGGACTACTACCCTAGACCCCAAAAGAAAGGAAATTTTGCAGAGCAAACAAGCACATGCCTGCTACCCCTACCCGTCCTTGACAGCTAACTCCCTTTGAGTCGAAGCTGGATCCGCCCCTGCATCCATCCACAATCAACACTTCTCCCCACCCAAATCCCAGAATATAAGCTTATTCAATGTCCTTTCCAATGAGCCTCAATCCAAGTTTTACAAATGTGTCTAAGTGAATGTTTTTTTGCTGGAGTTTCACAAATAAACCCCAAAATCATGGTTAAAATATTACCGTAGTGAGATCACGTGATAACTTTGTAGCAATGATACCTTTCCGATAATAAATCGTTCAACATGTGACTGTGACTAGCGTGCGAACGAGGAAACACAATGGTGTTTTGATAATGAACTTTTGGTATCACCAGTATATTGTCTCAAGCTAACCAGAAATGTTTATCATAATATGCTGGGACAAAATAACAAGTAAATGTAAACTTCTGACGTTCAGCAAGTTAAACTGATTCCAAAAGTTGGATCAAGGTAATAATACAATTTGTTTCTCCTGTAATTTTCAGAAATTGATATATTTGGGGGTTGGTATTTTATAGCAAACATTGTTCAACTGATAATTATGTTTAAAGATTTGTGTACACAGATGCTAGAAAAAAATCACAAAATGCTGCTCTTGTAGTTTGGTTCCCTGACGTACCCTATATACTTCAGACAAAACGGAACAATTTATAGACGTCGGGGAATTGTCAGCTCGGGGAACCATACTAGCTGGCTTGCAATTACTGTTACCAACGTGCAACCGACAGGCACCCCAAACATTTAAGCATCTTTTGCATGTTATTTTGCCCACATTAAACAGTTGACGTCACCACTTTTACACCAATCACATTTCAAGGAATACACACGCAGAGCAGAAGAGATCAGTTTGCAGAAAGTTGACATCACGTGACCACAACATCCAATTTGTAAAGAAATGTTACATGGTCTATAGAGCTAACACTCGGGAGTTTAGGTTCATTAGAAATGTGTGTATAACTTTGGCCAAACTTTGGGGGTGGGGTGGGATCGGGTGGGGTTGTGGTGGGGCAGCGTGGGTGATGCAGGGTGTAATTAGGTTCCAACCACGTGATTAAGATTGCAGGACATTGCTATTGTTTCTCATGCTATAAAACAAAATCCCATAGGGGTAATTTGAACTGCACGAACCCATGCTCTTAAGGTTCGAGCTTACCCTTGGAGTGAGTTGAGAACTACACAGTTCACGAGATAGCGCCTTTAACCCCATTGGATCTGCTGATCGAAATGGAAACTAAGTTTTCTGACATCCCATTTAAGACGCAAAGAGTGAGTTGGTTATAATGCATGTCCAGTGTTTCTCACTTTCTTTTCTTATTTCATATTGCTCGGTCCCAAGACGAGTTATAATCTGGCTATCAATGTAGATACATTTGGACTTGTGAATCAGGCCTGTCAAGACGTTTCTTGTAAGAAAGATGAATGGAACAATAGAACATAGCGACGGACTGACAGCCCATGAGGAGCAGCTTTTCCGTGATGTCGAAGCTCATGAGCAAGACTACAATTACATCATCGGTCAGTTCGCCAGAATCATCGCCCCCATTGGAATCCTGCTGAACTCTATTTTTCTCTTCGTGGTGATTCGAGTGAAGTCCATGCGCACGATCATCAACGTCTATCTGTCGAGTTTAGCAGTGGCTGACGCTACCAATCTGACCCTAGGCATGTCAATAACATGGGCAATACAAAACACACACACTGTAGATCCAGGTGCTTCCCTGGCCTCACACGTAGCTTTATCAACGATGCAGATTGCTTCGTACTGCTTCGTGACTGTCATAGCGGTTGAAAGATTCTTCGCCGTACGCCAACCGCTAACCCAGAGAGCGCAAGCGAGCAAGTCTCGAGCAGCCAAGGTATCGGCAGGCATCTGGGTTGCGGCACTTGTCACAGGCGTTTTGGGTGGATTCTTAACTAGTTCCACTTATGTCAAGAATGAGGTGTTCACTAAAGTAGCTGGTGTCTTGTTTCTACTGATTTACCTGGCTACGTTTACAATAACTATTTCTTCGTATATTTACATCGTTATTAAGTTGTGCCACAGTGACCGAGAGCGTCAAGTAGGCCAAACCCGTCGAGTTTACCCCGTCGTCCGCATGCTGGTCATCAACTCTGCTGTCTTCTTCCTGCTCAGTTCAACGGAAATCGCCTTAACCGTTAACACTCTTATTATCCTGTTCTCCTCACAGTCGGGAGCTGAAGCTGTCTTGGATATGTTCTGGACCAGTCTCGACCTGTTGTTCTGCGTAGCGATCTTTCGCCCCATCAACTGCTCCATCAATACTCTGGTATACAGTGCGACCAGCAGTCAGTATCGAGCGGCTTTTTTGGAGGCTTTCCCTCCGTTGGCAAAGCTCCTTCGACAGTGCCGCCGCTGCCGCCGACCGCAGCAGACGGAGCAAATAGAACTTCGAGTGATTCCACCAGTGAAGGCCGCTCAAGAATCACCGGTCCAAGCGCACTGAACATCGACGCCAATCCTGACTTTTAGTCGAGTCAATCGCAAGTCAAGTCCCAAGTCAGACACAAGTAAGAACACAAATATCAAGGATGGAGACCATCCAACCTGGTTCCTCCAATCAGAGTGTTTGAGACAGAAACCCGACTTTCTGCCTGCTCTCATCCATACACTGTTGCTATAACCTAGATGTAGAACAAAAGGTTATTCCAATAACTTTTTCCCACAAGCTGTGTCTCTTTGGAATTCCTTGCCTGGTGCTTGTTTCCCTCCAACCTATGATCTGTCCTGATTTGAAGTAGAATGTAATTTCATACCTTCAGTTTAAGTGAGTATTTCCCCTTCTTTTTAGTATTTTCTTGTTGCCCTGTACATTGAGTAGCTTTGGCATTATTGAGGGCGCATGCGTAAAAACGTTACCACGGTCAACTTGAAATAGCTTGTGAGTGATTAAGATTGAGCAACGGAATAGTGAATGACTTCTGAGACGATTTTGTGAAGCTTGACTAAAAGTTGCACTTCGCTAAATTACTGTGACGTTACCTGGATTGAAGTTTTCCCCAAATCTGACATTCTCTGTTACAAACTCTCTTCGATGCTTCCTACATTGTGGTGCCTTGATTTGGAATCCTAAGAAGTGGCGTAAACTACTGTCGACGACTTGGGAGGGGGCTCATGCTTGCAAAATCCTGGCTCCACACTGGACGTTGTAAAATAACTTGCATAGCTGTAGTGGGGTGGTGTAGGTGTGTTGAGTTGGAATTTAAAGTTGCTGGCGATGTTCATAGTTAATCTGGTATGATTGTACACAAAGTAGGCCAAGTGAAAAGATGCAATGATAGGTCTATGCAGCTTAAAGCGGTTCATTGTAAATACAAAAATCGGAAAATGGCGACAAACTAAAGTTTCTCTGTAATAACTTTGTAACGCGTAGGTATACTGAAAAGTTATCAACGGGAATGTTTAGAGCTTGATGAAAATTATACTGTAAAAACAATGTGATGTAACTCTAAATGTTCCAGTCGACGGTGATTACTTGACTTAAGTTTAAACATTATTGGAATATAATCATTACGTTGTAACAAACAAATCAGGTCGCTAAGGTGTTTAAGTGTTAGGATTAATACTGACATTGGAGGTTAAATTGTTTGACACAATGGTACGTGTAGCCAACCAAATTTGCAAGCTGCGATTCATTTGTTTCCTTACACAGATTTAAACAGTGTGAAGTAACTTGTAAAGTCCTCTTAGGAATGTGTAAATACCCACCGCCCTTCCAGGAGCTCTCCTTATTTGTGAATAGGAATTTTTGTTTGCATTGTTGAGGCGAACAAGTGAAATGCCTGTGTTTAGTTGAGCATTAGGGCGTGGTGCAGCGCGAAATTCAAGGCAGTCATTCCTGCACATGCCGTCCTGAGAGAAGGATCGACGTAGAGCGCTGTTCTTTCTTCGTTCTTTGCGTTTCCTGAGTTCAGCCACATTCATTTTCCTTCCTTTACAAACTTTGCTATTTCTTTAGTATCACTATGAAGCCTCGCCCAGCTGTATTCGGCTTCTGACGGCCCATTTTTGTGCATAATTAGGTACCTTCCGGTGAGCTCAATTGGAAAAACCAATTTTCTCATGTAATTGTGTATGTTTAAGTGACGGTATTTGTGTATTTTCTACTGTGAAAATTGCTGATATTTGGTGCCTCCAACATTGCATCATTGTGGCTAATTAATATCCTCATTTTGTATATATGCTAAATGTATGGTTTTTTAAGGTGCCGTTCATTTTAAATACTGCAAACTGTAGATAATTTAACAAATGTCGACACCCACTCGTATTTATTAGTGTCATTGATAATTGTATTTCAGTAATCCATATCTGTGGCCATTTTGCTGTGGTAGCTCTTGAGACGGTACCCGCCAGTCACTAACTCTCTGGCGGGTACATGATCGTTAATTGTTCATAATCCAGAAAATTAGTTAAGATTGGCATAGCATATATCCCGTGTATATTGCCTCATTTTCACAATGTTGGTTGCCATAATACGGAGCCAGATGCGAATTTTCCCGTTTTTCTCCCAATAGTTTTGGCGAGTTTTTCGCCCCTCCCGTAATCAGCGAATGATATAGAAATATATTTTCTCGATGTCACAAGAAATGCCCAAATCCGTCGTGTTCACTTATTTCACCTTAGGCCTTTAGGAAAGTCTGTTAGCGATGTCGTCTCAAACTGTGCATGTTTCTTTGTAATAGTTGTACAATATTCATAATAGTTGCTTGACCATCATGCAGTAATCCCATACGCTTTTATTCTATTTCATTGTGCTGTATTGTATTAGTAATGTATTGTATTTGTATGTATTGTATTTGTATATGTGTGTAGTCACAAACACTGTAGCGTTTGCAGGGCTCCATGGGAAACCAGTTTTAAATTGTAAGGCCATATCCTCGCTAAAGAAATGTAACAAATAAATAAACAAATAAACTCTATATTTTGTACATTGAATAAGTATTCTCCAATTGTCAAATTTCCTCCGTTTATTTGCACATAATCCATTTTGTTTGGACATAATATTGTAGCCGTGCAGATTTGAATATTTCAAATGCCTTGCATGATCTGTTGTCAAAAATGTTGCAATTATAGAAATCATGCTCGCCTCGATAACATTTTGTAATCCTTGTTGTCTATATTTGCTGAATAATTTCCCGCTCAAATTAAGTGATTTCGATATTTTCTCTCAGTACACCGACTCCCTCAACATCTGGTAGCCTTGTATTTCTCCTTGTCATTTGCTCTTATCTTTCCTTGTTTTACCCGGACTAATTTTGTACATATTCTCAAATCCTTCGATTGCAAAGCATAAAATCATTTTTGGGGGGTTAAATTCACAATTGATTAAACCATCTTGCGAGCAACCTGAAAATTAAGTTTCCAACTCAGTGTTTTTAGTCACCTTCTCTAGTCTGCTTGGTTTGTACATGGATTTTTTGTGTGTGTTCTGATAGTAAAGCACTGAAGGCGGAAAAATCAACTTGAGCCACGTTGGGGGCCTCTATAGGGGACATCAACAATAGCCTATACATTTTTAGTAATTCATCCTCATATCGTTTTGAAAACGTAGTCAAATAAGTTGGTGTTTCCGTTTTTCAAGCTTTGCAGTTTATCCTAGTTTATCTTTTGATAGCTTATAAAACTGAATCGGGCATATTTAGGTCGGTGCGTGAGCGAAGGCAGGGGCGTAAATCGGGGAGGGGGGGGGGATGGGGGTATATACCCCCCACCTTTTGACCGGGGGATGGGCTTTTGAATCGAACCCCCCCCCCGGTGCACTTTTTTTGTGTTGAGAAAAGATTGGAGGTTTGAGGTCTTTTGCGAACGTCCCAACAACTAAAATGTATTCAATAGCATTGGGTATACATATTGATATACATCTTTATCCTGAAGAGCGCCCCCTAGTATAATGTGGCCTCCAGCGGTCCCCCCCCCCCATTCGGCCGGGCAATTCTATTTTTTTGGTCACTAACCCATGCCCCCCCACCTCGCCAGTAGATTTACGCCACTGAGTGAAGGCATCAAAACGAAACCAAAATACGTTGTTACAACTTTACAGTTGTACGAGGGCGCCCTTGTCTTTAATTGATTCCTGTGCCAACGCAGCTGTGTACATATGACCAATAGTGTGCATGTCACATCTTAACATAGGATGAATATACTGCCCTCTTTCGGAATGGTTCTCGGACTTGATTTCCATTTAAACAAATTCCCACAGAGCCATGAATGATAAGAAAAGGTTGAGTTTCATTTTAAATGCGATCATCTGGAGTTGATTTAACACAGTTTAGGGAAGATTTTTTTTTTGGGGGGGGTGGAAATAAAAATGTAAAATTCCCTCCAGGATTTGAACAAGCAGCCTCCCAGCATCCAAACCAGCGACCTAACGCAGCACGTGATAGCTAAACCTCACTGACTGCTACAAAATATAGGCTATATAGAGACCATTATCATGTTGCGACCATCTTGATTTTTCCCCGATTAAAATCAACGTAACCAAAGCAACGCTGGAAGTCGAATAGTCTGGTTCCTGTTTGCACAAGAAACATTATAATTCAGTACTGTTTTTGGATACAGGGAACATGACTAAAATGGTGGCAGCATGATTAAGGTCTATAAGAACTAAATCCGGATCAGATGACATAATGTATTCTTCACGAGAGAGGGCAGTATATTAAAATGTGATATGCACACAATATTGTGTCAATTGTGAAATGTTCACAAAATAAGAAGAAGACTTGGCTAATTGTCCTGTGCGAGTTGTTATGCGAACGACGGAATAAAACGAAAACTAATACAGCTATACGCAGTGGCGACGGCAGACTCTCAAATAGGAAGGGGGGGGGGGGGACAGGAAATACTTTTTTTGGGGGGGGGGGGGAAGTCAAAACAAAATCTAGCCTGTGTACACTCGAGTGCCCATTGTCAGTAGTCCGGAAATAAGCCACTAGAGTAACTTAGAGAAGTGTAGTCGTTTTTGTTTCCCATGCCCCCCCCCCCTAGTGCTGCCACTGGCTATACGCCAAAATGACCTTGTCACAAATTGCAAGAGGCCATGTTGAAAAAACCTTTTTGCTAAGTTTTGAGTAAAAGTTGCCATGAAAACATCACAAATATTTCTACATTAATTAACCTCAGGTATATCACGGAGAAACGTTGACTCCGAAATTGCTGACAAACAAATTGCAGTTGCATACTTTATTTCCATTTTGCTAAATCCTACTTTTACTTACTACCATTGTGCTATTCGATAGCCTCATTTATGACACTATTTATCTGATTTTACTTCAAATTTCAACCTTAGTAAGTAAGATCCCTATATTTATTATTTCGTAAAACAACTATTATTATCACAAACAGTAGTCCAATCATCATAAATGTTCACTGTACGAGTTATGCTTTACCACAATATTATGAGTATATAAAAGTACACAACCTCAACCCATATAAAATCATAACACTTAACCGAAACAACAGATTAAAACTTAAGCAGGTGATCAGTAAATGTTTTCTTTTGCTGCTCTTTAAGTAGACGTACTATATAAAAGAAAACGTATGCTACTTCAGCAGTCTAACATGCTGTAGTACAATTTTTGGTGTAGTACAATTTTGGTGTTACAAAAAATGTGAACAACTTTAACCTTCAGTTTTAATGTTATTCCAGCGAATGCATAGTAATAAAAAATAACCTGGATTGATGACACTTACTAAACTTAATTCCTTCACTTTAAGTGTTTTTAATCTTCGATCATTTCAAAGGTCAAATAACATCATTATCGACTCCTGGTCGTTTGCAGATGCTTTCATTTTAGCCGAAGGAATTATTCAGAGTTTTAATTCTCAACTGTGTAGTGTTTCGCATTTTAAAGCACGAACAGGACGTTTTGAAGATTTGAAAAATTAACAGCTTTTTTTAAAAATCTAAATCTCTACGAGTGGAGAGAAGAACACTCTACACGATTTTTAAACCTAAAAACTAACACTTACGTTAACTGTATTTCAGTATTTTCCTGTTACGTCTACAATTATTTAAGCTTTCTTTTTTTAAACAACTGTTTCGCCTGATATTTCCTTGTCTTACTTGCCAAATATTTCTTTCTCTCAGGATATATATTTCTTTACTTAATCATTAATCATCATCAACGTTCGCTTAATTTGTACGGCTTTCAAGTTACATCAATTACTAGTGTCAGGTTGCAATAAAGACATGGCTGGATCAAAATTTCAAACACAAAATTTTTCTCTACATGTCTTTTGTGCGATATACAAAGGATATTCAAAAAAATTATGGTTCTACCACAAGGTTTACGAAAAAAATTAAAAACATTACGTTTACGAAAAACGGTTTACTACAAAGATTACGAAAAAAGGTTGTAGCACAATGTTAAAACAAGAGCCATCGGAACATAAATGCTTCATCGCATTCAAACATGACTGATCAATCTTAAAAACGGAATGATTCAATACGATGAATGCAATCGTCATATCCAGGCACAAAAAATGTGGCGGATTATGTTAATAATTAACATTTTATCGCATATAATGTTTAATACCGTTTTTACAATTATTTGTAAAAAAAAAACCAGAATCGTAACGCTCGGCAATCACTCAGACAAGATACTGATAACAAACTGTCTTTAATTTGAGATCTTCGGACAATACTTCAAAATCTATTTAAAAGAAGGAAAATTGTCCTGGTCTAGACAAAAGTTTGTAAAAACTGTCATCAAAGATGTGTCAGATCAAAAAAAATTGAACAAAAAAGAGTCTTAACTGTTTCTCTTTAAACTGCGCTAGATACATTTGTTTACAACTACACGTAATACCCTGCTTCTGCAGTCTTTTCAACACAATATGAAAACGAAGCATTGTCTTGCATTTGAGATGTTGGTTGTAGCCTGAGTATACTCAATCATATTCACGAATGGTTCTTTCAACGATGCGGAATCCCAACAACGATATTTGTTCCGTACATGTGTTAAGTATTTGTTGACCTTGCTAAGCATGATAACTGGTTTGTTTCATGATAACTGTTATTCTACATCGATAACTTCTAGTGCTTTTAAAACACATATACAGACAATATTTCGTGCGCTTAATTAATGTTCGACTTAAATTTCCACAACTACAAAACAAATATAAACACTTGCGTTTGATTTATTTCTGTCAATTTCTTAATCAAGTATAGTATTAATACCGATACGTTAATTTACAGGGGTTTCCCTTCACTTTTTCCTTTACTGGCCGGCCGGGCCAGTAAACCAGAGTTTTCACTGGCCCGCAACCTTTTTCACTAGCCCACATGTTTTAATAGTAACTTTCAGTTTCAATCAAATCACCATAAGCATTTTTGATAACATTTTTGATAATAAATTATGCAATATGAATACAATCGGCAATTATCTTAATCATGTACATAATATTGCATGTAGTTCCTTTTTAAGTAAAGTCAATGTTTCTTAAATCGTCCATGCTTTAACATAGAGCAAGGCTTTAATTAACAGGAATCAAATATAGGGGGAGAAGTTATAATCAAAATTTATGCAGTGTGCTTCGTTCCGAACTTAAGGCTTTAGGTGTTCTATTTCCGACATGTTTTGATAAAACACGAACTAAAAAAGCGTTATCTTGAGGAACAAGAAAACATTGCACACAGTCGTGGTATTAATGGGAGTTTACCAAGTTAGTATAAACTGAACTGTTTTAACTTGTTTGAAAATGAGTGAGAAGGCCAGTATTTAAAAAAAAAAACATCTCTCGCGCGCGCCATGCATTTCTAGCGAAGAATGGTGCAATCAGCGTGCCTAGCCAAGAAGCGCTGCGGGCGGGCGACCCACAAACTTACGCTGGTCACGTCAATCCAAAACGTTTTCTGGAGCACGGTCCACTTTACATTCACTAGTCTTTACATTCAAAATAGGCCCCTCGAATCTCATATTGTCCTCATCTTTTCGGTACATTCGTTTGATAGTGTTCAAGAAATCATCCCAAGAATCCGTTCGGGCACTAGTTTTGGCAGTGAAACTGTCATGAAAGTTTTCTCCTCACCACGTTGTATGATACGAATACGATGTTAACGTACGCACGTCCGTACCGTACCCGTGTGGACTGCAGACGAAGTACATGTAAATCACGTGCGCTGCATGTGTGCACAATGTGTAATGGCAAATACACGTTGATTCGCCTCGTGTCGTATTCGTCGTTGGGATTTCAATGCCCAGCGCACTGCGAATATACATGGAGTGATATGAATTCAAACTACCAATGTTTTTATTTCGGTCGGCGTGGCAAAAGCATTCATGTGTTGTATCACCCTTAACTTTTTATTTTGATTGATTGAAAAATACTGTAGGGAAAATTTCGTTATTTTTATTTTTTTAACAGTTTTTTGACTCGCCCGTCGGACTACTGAGAGGAGGGTTTTGACTCGCCCGCCGCTGTTTTCACTCGCATTTGGCGAGCGGGCGACCGCTAAGGAAAACCCCTGCCGTTAATACTAGCTACAGTTAACAAGCTCACAATGATCTCTTTGAACAAATCACCTGCTACTTGGCTACAAACAGGCACAAGACAGACTCAGGCGTAGGAATCTTCGAAAAGCTTTCGACAGTGTCCAAATTTTATTTCAAAGCAGTATAATCTCCCTACCTAGTTGCTCAGTGCGTACATATATAAATGGTAAAATATTAAATTAGCGTTTTCAAAGTCAGCTTCAAAAGCTGCAGTTCCTCCTGGCTCGGGTATCTCTGACTAAGCATGTATGCATCGAAGGTACGCGTACATATTCTATGTCAGATGAAAGATAGACGGGACATTTAGCATACTAAAAATGAAGTGAACAAATTTCCCACAAATGAACAGTTAGGCTCTTCCAGCCACTTGTTCATTTATTGTCATAAGGGAATGAAGCTTCTTGTTTCAGCTTCGTATCATGTTGTTTAAAACAACCTGATACCGATGATTTCTTGGACAAGGTTCAGCAGTTCTCCACACTTCTTCAAAACTTCTGCTGTGCGGAAATCACTGTACTCCTGTCCACTTGTCTTTGAGTTCCTCTGCGGGTAGCGAGGTTTTCTGAAGTCACAACTCAGACGAACTAGTTCATGTGTTACTTCAGACACTCGGTTAGAGGTTACGTCCCTGTGTTGGTCAACAGCACTTGCTAGAGATATTAGATCGTTACTCTCTATATCCGGACGTCCATCCAGACTGTACTGAGCTGCTTTAAGAGCAGTTTCTGCGGCCTGATGTACTTGGAAGGCTATCCATTGAGTCGGAACTGGGTCATGTTGACTCGTCTGCTCTGCAACCTTTAGGTGTTCCTTGGCCTGACGGAACCACAGCCGTGCTTTTCGTGGATCTGGGGTCTCTCTGGTAAAGGACGGTGGTACAAAGTTATCATATGATCTGTTTGAACTAGCGCTGGACCGACTTTGGTAATACCTCTCTTGATATCTTCTGGCTTCCTCCCTGTCCCTATTAACCTCTGACTCCCAGTTGGAATATTGATTAGAACACCGCTGGTTGGACTCATAGCCCCTTTCATGCCTTTCAATTTCCTGTTTGAGGAATTGGAATGCCTTATTGGCACGGTCCTGCTGGCCTGGATTCTTATCGGGATGCCACTTGCGAAAGAGACGATGCAAAACCTTTTTGCGTTCTTCTGGCGGTAGTCCAAATACCTCGTCAACCTCCTTCTTAATCTGCTCTTCGTCTTTCTGCATGTCTTCTGGAAGAGCTCGGTCAAAATGCGCCGCAGGTGGGACATCAGATGTAGGTTCCCCAGTGAAAGGAACGACTGTCATGTCTGGCTGTTTCTTTGGTCGCAGAAATTTATATAGGGTAGTCACTTTAACAGTGATGGGATCCTTTCTTCCAACGTCAATTTTGTATTGTCTCGATAAATTGACTGTCTCATCCCTCTTGTCAATCTGCTCAAGGATTTTTGCATAGATTTTCTCAGTAGCACCATCAGCAAGGTCGTCATTGTCATCATACTGCAACTGGTCGCCTTCGTCAATGTTTCTTTCATAACCTACTATCTCACCTTCGCGGAAAAGGTTGTACGGATCGTGATCAAGCAGGTGATGGATATCGCTTGGTATAAGAGTTCCTGGTCTGTACTCGTCCGGTTGGAGAGCTCTTGCTGTGATATCGTACTCGGGGATCTCAGACTGGGAAAGAATCAAATTCATCTTGTCCAGACTCTTACAGTCCAAGACACTTATAAAGATACTCAAATGATACACATCCAACAGATGTTCTAGGAGTGCGTTGCAACTGTTTGCGATTTGTCTGGAAGTAGGACCCCTTTGCTGAGATGGCGAAGAGTGCCGTAGGCATATTTCATTTGTGGATTTGTTGAAGTACGCTTCCCGGGAGTATTTCCGTTCAGCAATCTTATGCCCATTCTTGTCGTATAAGCCAAATTTCAATTCCACTTTGCAGACGAATTTGTCAAATTGCTGGAGTTGTACTATGTGCTGTTTGATGTCAGCACTTAGTTGTTTGTTTTCGGACTGGTGTTGCTTAAGTCTTAGCAAGACTCGAGTCATCTCCTCTGATTTCACCTTTCGCTTAACACCTTCCAGATACTCACAATGCTGTCCAGCAGGACAGTCTTTATTGGTTTCTAACGGCTTCTCATTCATCTCATCACCAAGATTCTTAGGTCGGAGAGACTCTTGAAGAAGTTCAATGAGCCTCATTTCATCCTGAACCTCAAATCCGCACTGCTTTAAGGGAAGGACGAATTCTCTGTCTGTGGATGCAAGGTTGTATTGATCCATTTGGTTTGGGTCGGCATAATAAAGATCTGTCGACCTCCTCATGAAGTATTCTGTATTTGGCAAATACAGCTCGGGTACAGAAAACCTTGATTGACCGTTCCCACTGTCCAACAGGCCAATTATTGCTCCTACAGCACACACGGCTGTATTCTTTTCGTTGGGACCCAGACGTTCATCACCACATTCCACTTTCATTGACGCCAAAACTCCTGCCAGTTGGTCCAAGGAACATGACTCCTGGGCTCCAAGCAGTTTGAAGACAGGATCGAAATCGGACAATTCTCGTGGCGCTTTGTACAAGTACGGTCGCAAAGAGGGCTCTAGATGTTTGTCCATTTCAAATACTAACTGATCTGCTCTGACCAATACACTGCCTTCCTCCACAAGACATACTGGAGTGCACTTCAACCGACGTTTAATGTCATCACTGTGCTTACGCATGCTTCCATTCAAGAAGCCCAAAATCTTACCCATGACGCCTTTGAACGTCTTTCTCTGTTCTGAAGGCAGTGTGTCTTTCTTGTGAATCGCATTGTGTGTCTCCATCAGCCCACAGATGTTTTGGGTGTGCGAAACAACTTTGTCAACAATCACGTTTTCAATTCCAAGGCATTCATGAACAGTAACGTCCTTAGTTAGTTTGTCGTCTCTCGGTATGGCCCCATTCGGTAGTATCACACAAACTGACCAGACGAGCTCCAAATGTTCCCCCGACACTGATCCTTTGTATGCAACGAATGGGGGTACTTTCTTGTTATCACTGCTCGTCAAAGAACATGCAGGGTGGATGTCAAGCAGCTCTTTCTTGATTGTCACCGACTGAACGAACTTAATCGTACAGATTTTCTTCAGGAAGTCTGGATTGCGGAGCTCTTTGTTGAAATTCAGTTGATCTGTCAGAAGACGAGAAATGCGACACAATGCATCTCTTTCGTTCTTGTCTTTGACCTCACCCGACCTTTTTTCTACCTCCTGTGAAAACTGTAGGAAGTCGGCTTGAGTAACTGTTGAATGGAGACCAATCCTTTCCAGGAAACATTTCAGGGTTCCCATGGATTCAGGCAGTAGCTTTATTGGATCAATCAACGCTTTGAAAACAGAGTTATCACCGTCGTAAAAAAAGCATGCTTGTCGAGGTATACCCGTTCTGTCTGGAATGAACGCAATGTGGGAAAGACGCTCAATAATTTCTTTCCTCTCCTGTTCTGAAGCTTTGCCTAGAACGCTGTCTCTGATGAATTTGACGTGCTGTAATCGACCCTCTTGACTGAGCAATAGGAAGCTTGGAAGTATGTACTTGAGATACATGTCAGCTTGTGTGATGGGCGTTATTCCTAGCTGTTCGTAGATCAGATTCAAGCTACGATTGGGCTCCAGAATAACACAGTGCATGTTGTCCATCCATGTCTTGGACTCAACCATCAACATCGCGTAGCCTTCTGCAGTGTGGTAGTCATCGTAGCGGTGAAGATCAGTGGTGTTTTGTTCCTTTAGAAGTTTGAAAACTGAGAGCTTTTTGATAGTCTTCTTGCTGTCCTCCGACAGATTCTCGTCCTCTTGGAAATAATGAAGTAGAGTGTCGCACTCTTGGAGCGTCAGACGACCAAAGCCTCCGCCTGTTTTTAGCACGAATGCGATCACATCTGTCACATCTTGTCTTGAGGCTGGCAGGGCTAGGTGTTTCGCAAGTAGTTCGTCTAGTCGTGGTGGTGCATGGTGTACTTGCACTTGAGTACCAGTGAGGAAGGTTGTCCTGAGCTCACACATAAGGGTCCGCGAAATAAGAGGGAGACCAAGTTTGCGCAGCACATTGGCTATTTCCATCCCTAACCCTACTTGGTTTTGCAGGAGTAACACAGTTTTGGACAAAGAAGGTGGCACCAGTTTTCCCGACGTAGTGGGGAATATTGGCCAGTGGTTGATGCAATCGAGGGAGGAATCCTGTAATGTCTCGCTGCAGATGAATGCCCAAAGGTGTCCAAGCCACGACTCGGAGGGATGGCCTTCTGTGTCTGGCGTCCACTCTACGTGCTGATTGCAACCTTGCCAGCTCTCTGGCAGATGCTTCCCAAGGTGTTGGGCAAGCTCAGTGATGGTAAACTGCTTAAGCACTCCACTGCTATAAGCTGCCTCGGAATTCTCTTTCCTCTTGAACCAAGCAATGCAAGATGAAACAAGCCTGCTGTGAAGGAATATATCCTTCAGAAAAGGTAGTACCATGGTGTGGTCCGTCACATATGAACCATCACTTGTTGAAAACTCACGCAGTATGCAATCATTCGTCAGACGGATGGGTAAGCCGTTCAACTCAGCTGGATTTTCGACACCTTCAAGGCAGTACTCAAACACAGTATGAAGAGTCTTGATGTTCTTGAAATCGGTTGTCTCCAAAGGAGCAGGGAGGGCCTGTGCCACTGGGTGAGAAGAAAGATGTTGAACTACTGACTTTGGATTTACAAACTTTGCCTCGACACCACAAGCTTGAAACGCCAAACATATATTCCGGGAGCTGGCCAGCAGGTTAAAGTTGACCCTCAGCAAAAAGGAGCGTATTAAATCCCGTACTTCATCATCTCTCACTAAGCTCACACCTGCTTCAGGCAATGCCGGATCGAAGTTATCCGTGAAAGCAAGACTGTCAACACTATTTGGATGATGCCAGGTAGTTGTGACAGCATCTTTGGTTTGACGCACAACAGGTAAAACCTTCAGGTTTTTCCTACCGATGTACTGGAGCGTCGCCTTTGCCAGGAGTTTCCACTCTCCATGATAGTTCTCCAAACGCTTTGGGAAAAGGTCATCATACTGCGAAAGGTGCTGTTTCAAAGACTCGGTATCAGCTACCCCAAGTAGTATTCCTCCGGCGTGCTCAATTAATGTAGCATAGGCCGGGGCAAGCACATGTTGCACAAGTATTCGGTTCCATCTATGGATGAGACCACTCTCGTCAGAAGAATCAACCATCGTATAATCGTCGCCTTTTGCGAGATTCTTTCTTGCCGAATCCAACTCAAACGTCCCATTCACATGCACTGGTAATCCGGTGTGCACCGGCAGCGGGAGAAAGCAGTAGGCCTTGTGCAGCTGACTTGCTGCCATCACCGGTCTGCTGTCCCTGAGGAGAGCGGCTACTCCACCACGGGGAAGGGGCCTTTTTAGGCTTAAAGCTGGCATACATTCAGCAGGAGAACCTTCAAACCCCAGCCTCTGAGAAATGAGCCATGTTTGTTCTGCGCCATGTGAGTCACTTGTCACGAGATTGTAGACAAGGGACATCGGCTCAACTGTCTCAGAGGGGTTATCAGTGAAAAGCTTGAGGTGCTTCGTGAACCTTGCACGTCGTTCTTCATCTTGTTCCGATAACTTTGCACTGATATGGTACTCTGTTGTCAGTTTGTTGGTGTGCTCATCAATACACGAAACACTGATCGATTTGATGTTGTTCAAGAAAAGAAGTGCTTCCTGGGACACCTTCTTGAAGTCACCAAGCAATTCCTGCACTCTGCTTGAATGGTAAGTCTCTCTGGAGAGCCCTGATGGCTGTGTTCTGAGTGGTAATCGGAAAATTGTTCCCCCCTTTCCACTAAAGGCTGGTATATCCTCAAGATATCCTCTCAACATGTCAGGGAATTTCTCCCTGAACCGATCGTTTGCCATTAGATGCATCCCTGGTGAAGACTTTTTCGTCTCTGGAGATAACATCAACAGCGGATCAAACACACAAAGGGTGTCACTGTTGCTCAGGAAACTCGGGCAATCAGTCAGGTGGTAGACTGCATTGAAACCGATTCCAAACTTCCCAGTTGTTGTTATGTCGTCTCTCTTTCCACCAACGCCTACCTTTTGAATGCCTTTGATGTCTGCTTCAGTGAATGGCTTGTCATTATACACACAGAGCGATGGAAGTTCTCCTACGGCAGCCCAGGAATCACATACGACCTTCTTTGCTTCGTGATAACGTGGGTCATAAACGAAGTGTATCTCTGTTGATCCTGCATCATCGGCATTTTGAAGAAGCTCTTTGAATACATCAGAGACGTTTGGATACGCCCCCAGTATGTTTTTCAGACGATCCGTTAATTCTTCACTCTGGCCGAAATCTATTGCAAAACCATGCAACGGTGAGCAGCTACCGATGTACTTCTGCCTTTGTGTGATGATATTCAAAACCTGAGCATCGCGGGATGTTATATCTGGATGTGTGTACTTCTCTTCGTCACGACTTCCCTCCCATTCAATATCGTTATATGTCAGTTCTTCGGGTGACCGCAAGATCCCACAGTTATCTGGGACATAGATTAAGCCTGTTTGCAAGCTGCTTTGCTGGCTACCTTCAGCATGTTCTCCATGCTTTCCTGTCAACAATGACACAACTTCTGACAACATCGACGTCGCGGTTTTCAGTTCTGATTGATTTAGAGGTTTCTCACCATGGGTGTTCTTTAGAAGCTGGAGAGCGAGAAGAAAATCCTCCAGCTGAAAACGATCTCTTACACCGCAAATCCGCAACAGGTTGCTGAATGAAATTAGCTCATGGGAAACTTTGTACAGATATGGTCCATGTTTGCCTTCGTAGTTAAAAGCTAGTTGCGTACACTCTCTGAATTTGCCATCACAGAAGACAAATCCCATTGAACGAAGTTCGTTAACAGCAGCACGGTGCTCTTCTTTGATAGTAACATCACCGTTTGGAGACACTGCACAGATTGTGCTCTGGAGGAATGAATATATGCTGCGCACCATAGCAGATGTTTGCACAGCCGACTTAGGTGCTCGATCAATTAGAATAACAAGCTGTGCAGTGACATCACCAACTGCAAATTGTTTTCCTGTGAAACCCAGAAAGGTTTTGACCTTGTCACTCATTGCGTCAGACCCCAATCTCTTCTCGTCCAAGAGTGGTCGAACTGAACCAAGAAGGTTCTTGTGTTCTCGTGTATGAAGCATGTCTGCTGGCATAAACTCGTCGTCAGTCTGAAACCAATCGATAGGATAGCCTGGGGGCTTCTTCAGGACTGGAAGAAAAGCTGCCTGCCGGATTTGTTTCCTTTGATCGGGTGTCGGTTCGTCATACCTTCTGAGTTTTTCATCGATCAGCTTCAGAAGAGTTACGCATCTCTGGTCAACATTCTCCCCCTCTGACAATGATTGGGCTCTCTCACAGATATCATCCCAAGATAAGTCATGTGAAGCCATTCCTAGCTGGAATAAAGACAAAAGACGTTCTTGTTTACGGTACTGCTCCCCATGTGGAAACCGACAGTCAGTCTCGCTATACAGTGATCCAACTGGTGATTCGGGATTCACCAAATCCTGAGGTCTTGCCAAGTCTTCGCCTTCTGGGGAGGTCGGTATGCACTCTGTAGCCCTCAGTGATTCATCATAATCTGCAAGTTTTCTTTCTCCAAGACGAAGGTCCAACATGTGAAGAACAATACTGTTCCTGTGTGTCGACTCGATGTCATGAGGGTTATTCTCCAACATCGGAAAGAATACCTCAGACAAGAATCGCTGGATGTTGAAGGTGTTGCGGTCGAAAACCCCTTGAGCGCCTGCTTGATTGATGCTGTGAACTACATCTTTTCCCAGTTCCACACATCGTTTCGGGTCCTGATGCTTGTCTAGCACGGCTTTTATGCTTCGTCTCAGTTGTTCTGGATCTGTCCGACTCCAATCAGTGAAGAAGCATTGATGCACTGATACCCACTTACTTTGGACAAAGAATACTTCTGGGGCATCGCCACTAGTTCCTATCTCCCTGTAGTAGGCTTTAACGAAAGGATGAAAGTCACTTTCGGACTCACTCCATCTTGGCCACAAACACTGGAAGTTGCGAGTATCGACAACACCTTGTCCTTGCAACATTTGAAGATCTTTCAGTAGATTCAAAAAAGCACGCAACAAGACTGATTCCATGAAGCAGATATTCCAACGGGTCTCAAATTCTCCCGTGTCAGATGAGGGTTTGCTCCACAGCTGGCGGCGGTTAGGTTGAAGCAGGAAGTTGCCATTGACATGAACGCGTAACCCGGTGGAGACATCAAGAGGGAGATAGCTAAAGGCCTTACCCTGTGTGGATTCAGGGGTCAACCCTCTTTCACCAGATTTTAATTGTGCTGCAACCCCACCACATGGCATAACTCCAGCTTTGATGCCCTCTTTGGTGAGAGCGAGATCTAGAGGCCTTCCTGTTGCCATGCAGGAGCTCACGATGAAGTGACATGTTTTTTGCTTTGGTTTCTTTTTGGCAGCTACGCCCAATATGCACGTTTCTTGATTCATCTTCACAATCATGGTTGTTTCTGGAACTGGAAGGCCTTGGTCTGGGACTTTCAAACGTTTTGCTGTTGCCTTCAGGATACCACGTTGAGTTTTCAAGTTATTTGTTGGTGCTGTAATTGACCGTGGCAGCTGTCTGACCTGTGAAACAGTGACAGACATCACTGTTGTCATGTTCTTGATGTTTTGAGACTCAAGCTGTTCCACGGTAACTTTATTCACGTTCTGGGTAAAGAGGAGCAGAGTAGACACCGACTTCTGCAAAGCCTTTAACAATGGGTCTGTACTCTTTTTGGAATCAAAGACAGAATCTGAAATTTGATTGGGCTGTTGGCCATCGGCTTCCGCTTTTGTCCGCAGTGGTAACCTAAAGAGTGTGTGCTCGAAGTGTGCAGCCTCTGGCAGCTTACAACCAAAGATGCCATTGTATGGTTGGAACTGGTTCGGATAACTCTCAAGCGTCCGTCTGTGGTTGTCATATGTCAGATCAAGTTTGATGCCTGGTTGTGCCGGCTTAACACGGGACCCAAGATGGGTTGTTCTTGGATCACAAATGAGTACATAGGGTCCGCTGACAACACTTGGAACATCTGTCAAGTGATAAACTGACGTAAATCCCAATCCGAACCTCCCAACTTTGTCCAGCTGATCTTTTTTGCTCTGGGCCGCTATATTGCAGATATTTGTAATATCATCTTTTGAGAAAATGCCATCGTTATAAGCCCAGAGAGCAGGTCCGTGACATAACTTCATTCCTTCACCCAGAAGGTCGTGAGCTGTTTGCTTGTTGTCGCGCCAGTCTAGAAGGAATTTGACTTCAGTAGCTCCAGCATCATCAGCATTTTGAATCAACTCGTTAAAGATTCCAGGCCCTTCCTTGTACATGTCAAGATTTCGCTTGATTGCATTTACTGTCGTCTCGTGTGGACCGGCAACCTCGTATCCATATTCTACTGCTTCAACAGGAGCAATCACATGACTCAGTGGTTGCAATCCTAATCTCTGAGCCACCAAGTTCGGTATTAACTCATGAATTATTGGCCTGTCGAAGTCTTGGGAACCTTCTTCGAATATCTGCCTTGCAAGTCTCTCCTCATCAACATACAGGCACTGAGATGAGCTTGCCATGTGTAGCTTTCTTTCTCCTCTCCGAATTCTACATGGAACGAGGATTCCCGACATCTTGTTGTCAAATCGTTCTTGGTTTACCATGTGCCGTAAGATGTTGCAGACAAGATTTAAGTCAGTCTCGTAATCCTCTTTATTGGTAACCGAGTTGGCTCCATGCTTTTGACTGACAATTTGCAGCACTTCGCAAAGAGCGCTGTCTTGGAAGGTCTCCTGGACACCCATGTTGTTTAGGAAACGTTTGTACTGGACACAATCCTGAGGAACAAGGCGTAGATAAGGGGTCAACGTAATGCCAAGTGTCCCATTGCTCATGGCCATTTTGTCAGGAGTAGTGAACCCAAAACCATGCCACACCCATGGTTGTGAGGCTTTCATGTGCTGATGAAAAAGGTGGCTCAACTGTACGTTCTCTGCTCGAATGAGGAAGGAATATATCTCAGAAACGGTATGAGAAACGAGATACACATTACCATGAACATTCTGGTAGCTGTTTGCTACATTCTTCAGATGAAGCACAACTCGTTCCACGTGTTGGTAGTTGCTGGGATCAAGATTCTTTTTCCATCCAAAGGCATCCAGTAGTTCATCTCTGACGTCACGTAAACTGACAAGAGGAAGCACAGAGCCTTGAAGCAGAGCAGAATCAATGAGTCCTACTTGTGTGGGTGAGTAGAGTGTATGGGAGTTTGCAATCCAACCAGCCTTGTTAGGGTAGTTAGCAGGCCGTGAAGCTACACACGGAACCCAAGACAAGTCTTCAAGAAACTTATATAGTGCTTTACATATCCTGTTCCTCTTGACTTGCTGACGTAGGATACCTGGATAGCGGTTGATGTGTTGTAATAGGACTGATCCCCTTTCAACATTAGCCCGACCTGTTGTTCGCGAAACCTCATTTGCACACCTCAAAATATCATCAGCTGCCACGTCTTCCTCTGTTTTGAGTCCGACCCGTTTCAAGTTGATTAACAGTCGGCCTTTGGAATAAGGTCCCACCGGAAACTTGCTGCTGCCTCTAAACATCACCTGCAGGGTTTTAGTGGGCTCAAACAGCCCCTTTGGACTTGCTCTGCCTTCAGAAATCGGAATAAACTTGAGGTCTGCCACCAATTCGTCAAATCTTGGTTGCTCCAAGACCCAGTTCATGATCTTCAGTGAATCACCGTCACTATAGAACCTTTCCTGTACTGCAGGGAGGACGTTTATTCGTAGAAACTCATCGACTGGTTGCTTGTGAACCCCGAGTCGTGTCAGCAGGTTGTCTGACTCGTCAGATCTTATAATAAGACATCGGCGTCTCAAAGCTTTCACTGGTAACCCAAAATAGTCACCGGGGACTGCAAGTGGACATGTCTTCACTGAGACATATTTCCCATCACTTCCTAGAAAGAAAGGAAGAGACTTCAAGATGTCACTTTGCCGGGTCGTAAAATGCTGGGCTTTTGCAAAGAATGCTCGCAGTTCGTCTTTTGTGCTTGCAGCTAATCTCTTGACGTGTTCAACAATGTTATTGTGGGTGCATGCTTCTAGGATAGTGATTACTCCTTCAGGCGTTGCAGCACTAACAAATCTGTTGATGCGTGGATGATCACTTACATAAGATGGGAGATCACGTATAACAACTGCTCCGACAGACTCCAGAAAGAAGCAGATGTTATCGGATAAGCGTGCTGGAGAACGCCAATTAGAGCCTCCCGCCTGTGCCTGGCAAATGAGCCTATTATGTTGTAGTCTGGCAATGCGATCGTGTGCTACCGGAATGAGGGGAACACCTTTGAATGCGTCAAGATCTGTTTTCACCAACCATCTCCAAAACTCCGCCAACCACTCCTTTGTTGGTTGTTGGCCCTGTCCTGGGGTCCATGGTACGGTATCATCTGTTCCGCCTCTCCATGTGCTTGGAAGCATCTCTTTCAATAGAGGTGCCACATCATTAACGCCAAGGTGTTTAAGCTGTGTGTATTGCTCTATTCTGGGATCTGTCTGCAGTGAAGCTGGGAGTTCACTTGCAGCGAATCTTGATGCCCCATTTGGGATCAGAGAACTTGGATTCTCTGTGGTTGCAATGTACACTTTTGGCGCATTCTTACGAAACGTAACGAAATCACCACTCTGCAAGGGAAGTAGACACAGGTTATTCAGATCACAAACTGTGTCACTAGTCACATACTTAAGAAGCTTTAACTTCTCGTCACGTGACAGGAACCGCAGTGGATCCCCTCTGATGTACTGTCTCACGAGTGCAGGTGTAACCGTGTTGTAACTCACACCTGCCCATCGAAGAGACTCGAGAATGTGGTTTGGAGGCTGTGCAACTGGACAACCTTTGATTCTCAGCACTTTTGCAACCAAAGCACTTCCCTTTGGGTCAACATACAGGTCCTTTAGCTTCATCCAGGAGCCGCCATCATGTTCTGTGTACAAGATGGGCTCGTTTGCTAACAGCTGCAAGAAGTTTCGGACTCCTGCCGACCAATTTGCCTTAACGTGCCCGGTTGAAGGCCATGCTCTATACACATCTAACGGCTGCGTTGGATCAGAGGGATCTTTACTCTTCTTTATAGCAGCTTGGATGACCTTTGCATAGACTTCAGGAAAGACTTCCTGTGTGAGGAGCTTGTTCCAGAGTGCCTTGTTGTCATGCTGGGACTCTTGATCTGGCCACTTGATACTGCGACGGTTGTCTCCAAGACCAAAGTAGCCGTGAACGTGGACTGGTAATCCAGTCCTCTCACTCTCTGGCAATGGTAGGAAGCAAAACACACGGCCACTTTGCTGTTCGTCACCTAAACCTCCCGCGAAGCTAATTCGGAAGGACATCCCCATCCATGGCAGCAACTTCAATTCATCATCTTGGCTCAGTTCCTGGAGACGTCTGGATGTACTCTGGTTCTTTAAGATGTTCAAGGTGATGTATCTGCTGGTCGTTTGAGCTGTCTGTTGTGCAGTTTGCTTCTCGATACGCACACTGCTCATGGTTTGAATGTCTTGCTTCAAGAGAATCCGGCTCAGGAATGTCGTTCTGTCCATATGAAGCTGCTGACGATCTTCTTGGTGGATCTGTACTCTACAGATAAGCCTAGGATTCTCAGACCTTTGGTCTCTCTCGTAAACGCTTATGGATTCTACATGCTTGAGAAACAACATGGATATCTCTGCATCTCTCTGGAATGACGCAAAGAGGTCAAGCATACGCTTACGATTAGTGAAAACCGACTTACTGATCAGTGATTCGCTGGTTCGCAACGGAAAGCGAAAAATAGTACCCTCTAATTTACCATTGTCAAAGTTGTTGTGATTACAGTGAAACAAGTCAATCAGATAAGGTGAAAACTGGTCTGGAAATTCAGCCAGGAGATCGGATGTCATCTTCCACTTCTTACCACGTCTGCCTCTGTATCTTGTGTTGGTGTGTGGGTCATGGATGAAGTGCTTCTCTAGTGGGTCCAAGAAACCGATTTTCTTTCCACTGATGATGCAGGGCATGTCTGTGAGAAAAAAGGTCAACCCTTAGAAAACCACTTCTGCAATAAGAGGTACACTGTTAATATAAAGAGTATATGTTGATGACAAGGAAGTTGTCATAGTGTATATACATGTTACTCACCTGTAAGATGGTAGACGGATATGAAGCCTAGGCCAAACCTCCCAACCTTGGAAAGATCTTCCAGCTTCCCACTCTGCTCAGGGTGCTGGATGTTGTACCAGTCTTGCTTCTGAAAGGTTGCATCATTGTAGGCATACAGGGCTGGTCCTTGGAAGTCCTTCAATGTCTCAGACCACAATTGATGGCTTGGATGCTGCGACTTGTCGTAAAGGAAAACGACATTCTTTGCTTCTGCATCATCTGCATTCTGCACAAGCTCCTGAAATTGACATATATCTATATTCAACAGGACAGCTTTAACTATGCTCTCTCTTTCATAATGGCCAGTTTCATGTATAAAGGGGGAAAACGAATAAATTATGTTGAAAATCGTTTCTGTTATGTACAAATTTGAAAACACGTTTCAACATTTCTAACAATAATCTTTTTGCAGCATGTACAGACGAATATTCCTACCTTCAAGATCTGTCCACCTTCCGGGTATTTGTCCAGAACCCTCTTAAGGTAGATGTGTAGCGGTGGTAACTTTTGCCCAAAATCATCTGCAAAATTAGAAGTAAGACTTAAGGATTATTGCCATAACCAAGAAGGAATATGTAAATTTTTGTGATGGTTTATCAAGGGAATTGTTTTGTGTATTTTAGGTCCGATATTATCCAATACCAAGTATACAAAGTTGTAGATACATCTTAATCAGGTGGTTGAAGTGCGCCACCAAGACTTTGTCATGGAGAGTTAATTTTTTCCAGTGCATTGGGGTGATGGTCGAAAAATATCGCAGCGCGGCACATTCAAAATTATTCGTTGTCTTCGGTCAGGACTTTCGTAAGCGTATGATTTGACTATTTGTTAGCCCTTTTCCTTCTTTTTATCAACATATTGCTTTCTTTGTAAGGTGTCAGAACGCAATGCGCAAATCATTCAAAACGGGTCCTGTTTGGTCGACCGTAAATTTGAAAAACGGACTCTCCATGGCAAACTCTTGGTGAAGAACTGCATTGTCGCTGGAATTGAGGCTCATCTCAGGTTGCAGTTATGTAAGAACATATCATTAATGATATGGAGTCTTTAATACAAAAAATGCCCTTGAATGAAACCTTTCACCGATTGGACTTACCATCACTGGAGTCTGACATTGTGCTTCAATTCTGCGCTAGATGAGCTCGTAGCAAATGTACATACTGAGTCGGATTTATTTCCTCTCTCCGTAGGCAAAGTCTGTAAAATGACGTTTGTTACAAAAATATTCATTACACAGACCATAAATAGACATTAATTCATGCGAACCAGGCTTTTGGATAACACTATTTGTGGTCGCCATCATCTCGCATGGGTAGCAACCATTACTTATTCTGTGATTAACGAACCAATACACAGTTTGTCCACTTGATCAAACTACCATTTCAGTGAAATCCGATCAACAGAGAACAAAATATGCAAGATAAAATTCCAAATTGCAAATTCGCATTATCAAATATACAATAAAACTACTAAAAAATCATTCAATTACAAAACAACCTTATTTACATTGTGAATAAATATCTGAAGGTGGATTTAATACGCCAATTTTGGTTACACCTCTTACGTTCCTACACCCCTATGTTTCGACACCCCTATGTTCCGATTGCACATTTTCCTATCACCCTGACCCTAGCCCTGACCCTTACCGGAAGTAACACACTCTTATGTGCGGGTTATCGGAACAGACAACACCGAGCTGTCACCGCCGGCCAACTTTCATATTTTCCTTAGAATATACTTCTTATGATTTTGGATGAGCGGTATAATTATATTGATTTTCTTTGCATGCTTTTCTGCACGCGGTGATCACTTGAAACAGTAACCAACCTTTTTGGGATACACTGGCAATTTGTTTTCTTTTTACTGCGTGTTATCTTGAAACAAAATACTGGATAAGGATGGTGAGTAAAAAACAAGGAAACCCAAATGTCAGGACTTATTATTTAATGAAGTTCTATATGTAGAACTTTCAAAATCTAGGATATGAAAGTCCAGTTAATAAGCTTTCTTTAAGCAGAAGAATCATTCGAATCACTCATTTACTTTTCAAGTTACGAAATTTTATACAAAAACACAGTTTAAATTTCAATCACAAAAAATGGTGAGTGTTCCCTTAGCAAAACGAAAACAGTACACGTACATCCCTGTATGAGAACTGTTGCCGTTTTGCTGAAAGAAAATTTACCTTTATTGCGATCCGTTGACAGAAATTTAAAACGGTGTTTTTGTTTAGAATTCCGTAACTTGAAAAGTAAATGAGTGATTTGAATGATTCTTGTGCTAAAAGAAGGCTGATTAGTTGGGCTTTCATATCCTAGATTTTAAAGTGCTACATGCAGAAGTTCATTAAGAAAATGGTCCTGTCATTTGGGTTTCTTTTGTTTTAATAACCTGTAAAAACAAACAATATATTACGAATTTCATGCTCAGGGTCTGTCCCTATAAACACGTACAACGCCTTTTTTTTTTATTAATTAATGCCTGGGAATATAGGCCTAGGTCAGCCGAGTAAACCGAAACAAATAGTTCGAGCGTATTTCTCGTGCGGCATACTCTTGAGGGCACGAGGCAACCTCGTCCCCAGTGCTTACTTTATTCCAACCTCGTTTCCAATAGTAAGCTCTGGATAGGACAATTTCTTCCTGTATCCTGTTCGATACCGCAATTTGTTAGTAATGGATTTATATCGTGTAGTTGGTGTTGTTATTTCCAACGTGCATTACGTGTTTTCACGATTATTGTAATTATAACGTCCGCCGCCTGCTAAATAATACTCCTTTTCTTTCCAGTTTGCTCATATAAATATGAAATGTGATAGTGCATATTGGCGTGCCAGATTGTAACATTTCAATTTCAAAAAAGTGCTTTCATAAGTCACGGCGCGACGAATTGATGCTGTTTTTACCCCAGACACCGCATACAAAAACAAACGCTAATGTAACGCACATGCAGGCACCAGACTACTCTTCGTTTGCATACGTGTTCAAAAAGTTTGAACATGCAAATGATCCAATACCAGGGTAAGAGAGCAGTTAGTGGGTGCGTACTGCTCGACACCCTGGGGACGAGGTTGGGTACGAGGGTAAAGGCGAGTGTACTCTTGCACCGAGAGTAATAATGCGCACGCAACATTTTCTTGCACCCGGGAATATCAAGAGTAACACGCTCGAACGCACACAGTAATGTACATTCAATCATGATATTGCGTGCTCTGGGTTTTCCCCTCAGTGTGCAATACCGCTCGGAGAACAATATGAATCACGCCACTAAGTTCGTTCACCCTACACATCCAAAGCGCATCAGGATTTCCAGATAAAAAGCTCGACACATAATGTACACAGTGTATGGGGACTTGCAATTGTAATGAATGTGAAATCTGGGTATTCTTGCATGCATAACCGAGAAAGTGAAAACATGTATACTGGACAGGTTGAACAATACAAAAAAAGTAAACTGTATTGGGCTACATACAACTTGAATGTACGTATAATGCTGTAAAAATATCGAACAGAATTGTATTTAAGTCGTATTGAACTTTTCCATACAATTTGAGAAAAAAAAAATAAGTTGTGATCCTTTCAGACTTCTTCGAATATTATGTAATTCGAAAGAAACTGAAGCATAATAGAGTCAGGATCAAGATGTATTTTAAGTAATCCGAAACGGCCTATAGTCCCCTTTTATGGGATTATGCATGCAGGAACAACATTAAAGCCATGTGTTACAGTTGTTGCTTTGATACACCTGTCTAAAAGTGGGCTCATGGCAAAAGCAACATCGGAATGGGTCGGCCGAGCAAACCTAAACGACATCCTGTTATGTCATGTGGTTGATGGTAGAAGAATAGAGAAGTTCACCTTCGAATAAAATGAATTTCAAACTTGTTATGAAATTCAAACGGCACAGACATGCACATTCACCAATTGGTATATTAACAAATCACCTTCTTAAATATACCGTACGTATTGACTGTCTACAAAAAAAACTAGTGTGAACGGTGAAGTATTTTGACGTAATGCACATATCAATTGTTACGTTTCCCCACCCCTCCCCTCCGGGCTTTCCCACCCAAAAGGTGGGGACTGTCACTTTTGAAGTGACAAAATCCCCACCCCTCGGGCAAAAATGGAAGTGACAATCCCCGGCATACATACGTGGGGCACACTAGTAATTTAATTTCCATGAAGTACGCCAATGGCAACAATGTAATTCGAGTGACCAAACTCCCCACCCTGGGGCATGAAAAACGTGACCAAATCCCGACATTGGACCTGGGGTGGCAGCGCATGGGGGTGGGGGTGGGGTGGGGGAAACATTAGGTGCATAAGTGTAGCTTGAGTTTGAAATGAAGAAACAGCCATTTGACACAGGAAACATGGAAATAAATGATGAGGGGCGCAGCCTTTCATTCTGTTTTCCAGACATTGTCATAATTATTCTCAAGATCATGGTGTATAAATAATGAAACTAGTAACAATTGCATAATGACTAGTTCTACCCTGTCACTTTGTAAGGGGCCATTCAGAATTTTCAGTGTTTTAAAATTTCGACTATTTTTCCAAATTGAGGGTGGGTGGGTCAAGCTAATTAATTGAAAATCGAAATTCAATTTTCATGGGAAAAAAAGCCAAAAAAAGAAAAGAAAAAAGATCTTTTGACTTGCCTGAACTACGCGCAAGCGTTCTGATATTGCGATGCGTGTTTCTTTTCCAACTTCGTCCCCTGTATGTACTGTACATGTACGTCATGTACGTGTATATATATCCACTGTGGCATGAGGAGGTGGTTTTTCAGTAGACTTGGACGCCGAGCACTCAGCAGCAATGGACATTTTTCTGAAAGGACACGCAACACGCACAGGCCCACCAGTAGGATGTAATGTGTACATGTATGCAAGTGCATGTACATGTACATGTTTTGTTTTTAATACTGCGTCACAAATCAGTTTTTTATTAATCGAAATTAGGGGTGGGTGGGTGGGTCAAAATAATTTGGAAAAAAAGTCGAAATTTTAAAACATTGAACATTCTGAATGGCCCCTAAGGCAAAAGGATGTGACTAGTAATTGCTCGTACCTGGCCAATAAGGTGCAAGTAATGATAGTGAAAATAAGGCATAATATACGACTCACCAATCATCTCAAGATCAATGTCGATCATGCATTGTGAGTGCGTCGAAGACATCAGAAGAAGCTACACATGTAGTGATCGAGGACCACTTATAATCTCCCGGACGATTTGTGGAGTTTTCCGATCCGATGAATTTGAAATCGCAACAGCATGCTCACGGTTCCCCGCAGAAATGATGGCAGGCTAGTATGGCAAGCCTGGCCATGGTGAGCGTAAGGTCAGAGCCAAATTCTGCTGAATGCGCATCAAAAATCTGTCAGATTTATCAAAAATCTGCCAAATTCCCCAGAATTACTCGAAATACACTAATCACTTAAAATCACATGCAGATTGGTAGTATTGCCTTAATTAAGATTCAAATTACATAATAAACAACCTAGTCACATAAAGATGTTGTGAAATTATTGGAAAATTTTGGGCAAAACGCGGATCCGGCGCGGACGAACTTCGTTTCCCAGTGAACCTCAGCACCTAGACCAGCCACCTGTCCCCTTATGCAAGGGTTTGTTTGAAAGGATTGAAGCTTTTTAAAACAAAATGTACCTTTTTTTGTTAAAATTTGCTGTTTTTCTGTCAAATAACCATTTTTGCAGAATTCTGTCAGAAATCTGCCAAAAAAATCCATTCTGTCAAATTTTCTGTCAGACTCGTTTTTTTAACAAAAATTCTGTCAAATTTAGCCAAAAATCGGCTAAAACGGTCACCCTGAGCCTGGCGTGCACGTGCGCCCACGCCACCAAATTAGTCACTCTATATTGCTCATTTGGGGAATCCCGCAGCACGCAATATACGGTTAAAGGGACACTAGGTCCTGAAATCCCCGAAAATTTCATGTTTTGGATTGTTAACTTAGCCTATTTTAAAAATATGGTTGAAAGGAAACCAACCTACATGTCTTTACCGTTCCCGAGAAAAGACGAAAAAAAAAACCGGCTTGTTTGCATCGGACACGACGGAGTACGAATACGTTTTTCGTGTCCGAGTCGTTCTTAGTGTACGATATACACGTTGCGTGTCTCGGGAACAGCGGTGACCAATCACCAATGCAAAAAATATGGTGTCTTCAACGTCCGCAAAAGTCGAACACTTTACGAATTAAATCACAACTAGCATCAAAACAGCTCGAATTTATGGGGTCGCAAAAGTGGACCCCGAAATTCATTTTCGCACGCATAATACAGGAATAACACACAAAAAACGCCCAGTTTTTAAAGGATAATTGTGTGGATGTTTATATCCTACTTTTAAATGTTCTTTTCGATTAACATCATCTCGTTCAAAGCGCGTTTTGTAGCCCAAGTGGGCTGTTCCAGGACCTAGTGTCAAGTTCTTGTGTAGCCTGAATATCCGACTTTATATAACCGACATACAGATCCTTGTCATTTGATTGGTGGAACTCACATCACGTGGCATTCGTTATTGCTCCCATTCATGCCGCGGCTCAAAAAGTACTATCCGCCCATGGGGAATGGGAAATACTATTCAACAGTTAGGATCATAACGCGGTATTTGTGTGCAAATGCATGCTGGTGTGCGCGTTCAGCGTTGCGCGTAGCGCGTATTGTTTCAAAGAGCCAGCGCTACAGCGTTAGGTTCAAACATTTTCGTGAAGGGGTATTTTGGAAGAGAGAAATACATTTTCCTCCAGTTTTGTATTGAAAAAAGTTCAAATATATCAAATGACAAGGATCTATATGTCAGTTATATAAAACAAATATTGAGTGGCTTTAAATTGTGAAATGGGAGGAATATTATCGCTCGGTAAAATCTGGACTTTACCTCGCGATAATATTCCTCCCATTCCACGCTGAGCCACTCAATATTTGTATACCATGTAATGGGAACTCATTGGCAGTATTGCGCATGCGTAGGTACGAGAATATGCTATTTTAGAATTACATACGGGAGAGTGACCTGTCACGTGCGAGGGATTAACCAATAATAGGGAAAAGGGGTCCGATTTTCATATGACACTGGTGCCTATTTACCCCTTCCCTAGTGCTTACTTATTTTCAACCTCGTTTCCAACAGTAAGCCCTGGACAGGAAACTTTCTTCCTATAGTCTGATTATTCGATACCGCAATTGACCTATCGCCGTTTGCAAGTTAGCCACGCCCCTTAGACAACACTATAGAGTTTATGTACACTACGTTTTATTGTCTCAGATTTTGCGCCTTCCGCGTCCATTTGTACATCATGTAATTGGACAATATTTCACAAACTGCGTTGACACGATTCTTACGCGAGTCTACCGTGACCGCGATAGGTCAGTTGGCTTGTAGATGATTTATATCGTGTACTAGGCGTTGTTATTTCCAACGTGCAGTACGTGTTTTCACAATCAGTGTAATTATAACGTCCACGTCTTCTCAAAACTTTTCTTTCAAATTTGATCATATTAATATGAAATTTAATACTGCATATTGGCGGGATAAAATTTTAACTTCGAAAACAATCGTGTTTTCTTAACTCACGGCGTGCGATTTGATTTTACCCCAGACACCGCATTCAAAAACAAACGCTAATGTAACGTGCAGACAGGAACCAGACTATTCCTCATTTGCATTCGTCTTCAAAAATCTTGCACATTGCAAATGATCCAATACCAGGGTGAGAGAGCAGTCAGTGGTGGGCGCGTACTGCTCGACACCCTGGGGACGAGATTGGGTGCCTATGCCCCGCGTAGTCGGTTCCCAGACCTGACAATTATTCCCAACGCTCACGTCTATAAATTGTAGGTCAGGCTGCCTCCGTGGCTAAAAATAAACATGACAAGATTGATGGCCCTTTGTTAAAGCTCGGCTTCGTTTCCGTTTCGCTTTATCACTAATAGCTTTTAATGTTCTGATCAAATATTTAAATAAATCACTTGCTTCGTAATATCATACAGTTATGATAATATAGTTTGATATATCTGTAAAATAACATTGACTAATGTTGATCTGGAATCTGCAAAATTAGGCACCCAAATAGCACTGTTAGCAGGCGGAGCCGAATGAAGACCGAGTTTTGGAAAATCTCGGTAACGGTCGTCAAATTCAAAACGGTACATGACGCTACAAAAAGGTCGCCCGTACGATCCGAGTATACTTGATGGCCAAAATCGTCGTTGAATTTCAAGTTCTCGAAATGAAAGCAAGGAATATTAATTATCAACTCATTTAAAAAAAAGTGTGTAATAAGCAATTAGCAGTTAATTAAACCTATATTTTACTCGGAAATATTCGGGCGCTATCCGATTGTCGACGAAACGAATTAGGCAAACTTCGGACATTTTCGGAAAAAGGAGGAATTCCTCCCGTTTTAGTCACCTGATGTAAATTGTAATACAATGTATTACCAGAGGCTACCGGACCTAAGATTCATCAGGAATAGTCCGAATCTTTTGGTCTGGGAACAAGACTAATGCGCCGCGTAGAGTGTTTCCCGCCCCCTAAAAATATTGGGACCGGTAGCTAGCTAGTCTGGTTCCCAGACCTGGCAATTATTCACGACGCTCACGTCTAAATTATAGGTCAGGCAGCCTCCGTGGCTAAAAATAAACATGACGACATTGAAGGCCCTTTTAAAAGACAGGGCTTCGTGTCCGAATTCGCTTTATCACTTATAGCTTTTAATGTTCCGACCATTTAAAAATAAATAAATTACTTGCTTCATAATATCATACAGTTATGATAATACATTGACTAACGTTGACCTGGAAACTTCAAAGTTAGGCGCCCAAATATCACTGTTAGTAGGCGGAGCTGAATAGAGACCACGCCGAGTTTTGTAAAATACCGGTAACGGTCGTCAAATTCAAAATAGTACATGACGCCGAAAAAAGTTCGTCCCTCGTATACGATCCGAGTACAAAATCGTCGTTTAATTTAGAATGTTTCAATTTAAAGCAATGGATATTAAATATCAACTCGTTTTTTAAGTTTTTAATAAACAATTAGCAGTTTATAAAACCCATATTGTACTCTGAAATACTTGGGCGCAATCTGATTGTCGACGAAATGAATTCGGCAAACTCGGACATTTTCGGAAAAAGGAGGAATTCCTCCCGTTTTAGTCACGTGACGTTATTTGTAATACAATGTATTATTGACGGCTGCCTGACCTAAGATTCATCAGGAATAGTCAGAATCTTTTGGCCTGGGAACCAGACTATAAACATGGCTGCCAACGTGACGTCCGGCGGGCGCCTAGAGGCCATGTCCGAAGTAGGGCTTCCAGAGCTACGGCTACGTCTATTGTCAGCGCGTCTCCGTGTGTTTTCAATGGGCTTGGACCTAGACCTAGCTCTAGACAGTTGATTCGGATGCAGCCTGTGTCATGTCAAAGTTCAACTTTCCAGCTCTTGCACGAAACTTTACCCGGTGCGAGGAGTAGGGATAATAACGGCCTTGATTACTGTCTTACACCGGTGCCACGGTTTGTGCTCTGTCTTTCCATGTATGTCTGTCAATTGTCTGTCTGTCCATAGGCTGGGGAACAAAAGCTTATGCTTCACCCCGGACCTAGATGCTGCCATTTAGTTAATGTTCACTATTGTAAATATATATATGTACATGTATTGTCAATTTGAATATATAACATTATGTATCGTCCTTTATGCAGCATCGAAATAAATGTATGTATCTCCAAAAAAAAACCCACGCATTCTATTTAACTTACGATGGTCTCCCAGACTAATCTCCGCCCCAAAAAACTTTGAATCATTGGATATACGCAGTGGATGGACCGGGAACCAGTCGAGGGTCTCCACAACTTCTGGCCGTTGAAGGGGTTCTCGTCCACGGATCGAGCCCAGAGACAGACGGCACATCATTTATTTCACTTATTTATTTATTTTACATCTTTAGGTAGTCAAATTAAAGTTGAACAGGGGAAATCATGGAAATAAAAATGTCCAAAATAACCTGTCTTCAAACGAGGGGTATATCCAGACCGCTGTCCAACAAACAAAGCAATACTAACAGTCCAATCACAAAATACAAGGTTCAAATACAGCATAACTATAGACAGCAAGATAAAAACATCAAAGTAAAAAATACCTTTATTAAAATTTATAAAGGGCCATTTATAAAAAAAATTGTTTAAAAGATGTTACGTTGACAGCCTAGACAACAAAATTTGCGGAGATAACTTTAAAAAGACAAAAACGAGACGAGACTAGATGATGCAAAAAAAGAA